ACAAGAGAATGAATGTATTTACTTCCTTGATATGCTTTTCCACCGTAGCTTCGACTGCTCAAATAAGCTCGGCTGATCCATCCTCCCGCACTGTGCCCAATGAGTGCAATTTTGCCGGCATTGGGTGGCAGCTCGGGCAGATCAAATGTCCCTCGTGGTGTAACCAGAGGATATTCGTCCACGCGCTGCGAGCCTCCCACTTGTGCCACACCTCCAGGATTGGTCCAAAAATCTTCCCAGGCATCTTTCAGCGAATACTGAAAGGAAGGAACTTTGGTAATGTCACCGTCTGCGGCAATCAAATGCTGGACGGTGAAATCGATGCGTTCCAAATGGGTCTCGCCGAACGACCGCCCAAACAGGGCAGCCAATGCCAGCAGGCATTGGACTGCCACAGTCGGCAACCCACGTTCGGTTAGGTTGTCACAAAGAGACTGGAATTCACTGGCTCCCGTCAAGAACCCTGGTACCAAGACAGCGGCTTGGATTTTTCGTTCGTCATTTCTTGGTTGGTTCTTGTTGCTGCCCGATGAAAATATTCCACCCAATTGAAGGGCCTGGCAATAAAAGGATGGTGCAGACAATGCTGCTACTACCCAAACGAGGAGGAACCTGCTCAAGAACATGATGATTGTCACCCAAGGATCGAGAAAAGTGCACACACTACTATGGTATTCCGCAACTATTACTAAATGGGATGTCCTTGCACAAGATTGCCTTCAGAACAACTGCCTCAACAAGCAAGGAATAGAAAATGACGACGTCAGATTTTGGATCTTTCTCGAATAGGTTGAACGGATCTTTTTCACCCTCACCCTAAACTAGGCTGTTTTCAATATTTTTGGCTCGAAGTTGGTTGATCATTCGCATAGAGTGAGGGACGGTTGACGAGTTGACCATTGGGGAGGACTTCCTTGATTTTAGCTTTCTCTCTGGGTCTAACTAAAAGAAGAGAATGGTCAGCATGATGGTTTTCAATATGTTGAGCCCTACAACCGCAAGTCTCGTTTTCTTCAGAAGAAGCATTACCTCCACGAGGTCAAGCGGAGATGCAAAGAGCAGAAACTGCAATAAAAAAAACAAAGGGACTCAGTTCAGAAAAGTTTGTGAGCTGGCTGGCTGAGCATCGCATCACCAACAAAGCTGACATTGACTTTGTCATGTACACAGAGAAAGCTAGCTGTGTATGATTGGAGTAATAACAAGGACTGACCCACTCTCTGTTGTGAAACATCTATGCCGGCTTATAGTTGGTACCGTAACGTCCGATGCATTTTGAATTTCGGAACACTCGTCATCACATCAGCATTGGCGGTGCAGTTACATTATTGTTATTCAGCGAAGCAGTCTATAGAGAATACAGAGGAGAAACAACCATGGTGGGTGACAAGACGCACTCAGTACAAACAGGATGATCACAAGAATAAACGACTTTGCAGTTCACTATCCGTGCTACTTTGTGGCGAAGAAGACATGGTATATCAAGAAGGTCCCCATCCCTTGTGTTGCTCTGGAAAAGAGAATACAACATGTTGCCTTTGTGCGCAAGCGACCTTGGATTGTTGGTGAAGACCAATGGGGAGTGTCAAAAGAGAGTTCTGCGGAAAACATCTGTACATTGGATGATGATCTCATTCTGTTCCCAAATCACGCAGAGGATGAGCTATGTCCTATTCTAGAAGATTATAAACTCCAAGATGGTAACGATGGTAGCAAGGGGATATTCCTTGAAACGCATATGGAGCAATGTCTGTGGACGAATGCACCACCACCGGGGGGGATGCCAGAATTCCAAGGCCTGCGTCTATTGCATGTCTTCTCAGATATGCCTCGACCACCAATATTGCGTTGGTCAGAGGAGGCGGTAGCACACCATGAACAACTCATTGACGGGGTGGTGAATGACGGTGATAGTAGTAGTAAGGAAGACATATCCCAGATCAATGAGGTGCTCCAACCAAGCCAATATCCAGTTGAACCTCAGGAAACCAGTGAATTGGAGGAGGCGCTCAATCCAACACAAACACATGACAAAGTAGAAGCACACAAAAATAGTGAATCAGCCACAGAAGACTCCACAATCATTTCGCCACATGTGTCACCCAAATCTTGGTGGAACGAATGGACTGATAGTTTAATGGGTCCTCAGAGGGAGTACCGGTATCCATCACGCTTCCCAGTACAAACTCAAGATAATGAATCACCAATGGATGAGCTTATATGCCCTTCGCCATCGGTATCATCAAACTCTTTCTTCTTCGAAACAGAGTTCACAGATGATGGAGGTCTGCCCTCGCTTGACAACACCGACCAAGGGAGTGAACCTCAATGGGAGGGCAATGACAAAGGCAAGTCGCCAAGCAATCAAGAGCCAACTAAGTCCAGTGAACATCCATTTCTCTACCAAGGACACACATCAACCCTCTCCTGTGAAGCTGGCAAGGGGAGCGAACCCCTTTTGGAGGGCAAAGACCAGTCAATGGGCAAACAAGGGCTCAATGGCTTGCATGCCACCCCTTCCGTTCCTTCTCCCGGGACCATGCATGGGCTCTCGCTTGCTGGCACAGGCCACGGGAATGAACCTCTGCTTGTCAATGGCCAGCCACTACCGGTACCATTTGTAGCAGGTAGCCAAGAGCTCGTGAACTTGCATGTGGAACATACTTTGCATTATTCAAGGACAGTACATCAACCCTCTCTTGATGATACAAGTCATTGGAGCGAACCTCTCCTGAGACAAAATGACAACGATGAGCCACTTGGAACCGGGATCTCGCCAGCTCTGTCGTGGAACATTCCTCCTCAAGGCCGACACACCAATCCTCCCTTGATGTTATTAGTAGTGGCCAATGGACTGAATCTCGCGACAAGCCACTTAGAAACCAAGAGGTCCATCGCAGCCGCGAGTGGAACCTTCCTAATTCGGAGACCACACAACAACATCTCTCATTTGATCATACATGCCAATGGAGTGAACCTATGTTGTTTGCTTCGGAGAGCATTGAGCCATTGGACAGCTCAGTTCCAATGAGTTTGCAGGTCCGACCGCCCATGACCACTCGGAAACCGTCGACTGAAAGCATGAGCATCGATAGTCACCAGAGCAGCGTATCTCATGTCTGGTTCTGGACCATTCTATTGCTTTGTGGTCTAGGCGGTCGAATGATCCGCCGACAACGTACCGGTACAGCTAACCGATTGGTCCATGCTCAGCCGGGTCTTCATGTTCACGCACTTCAATACAGTCAAAGTTTCGAACAAAATACTTCTTCAGGGGAGGATCGGTCTTTGAGGAGTGGGGAAAGCGCAGCAACGCCGGTGACATCCAATCTCTCGAAAGCAGAGACGGCCGCAGATGACAACGCTACTTTAAGCGAAAACGGCAGCACAGGCCAAGCTAGACACGGAATTGGTCCTCCAACAAGAGACAACAATGGCCTGGAACCCACTCAAATGGTACCAGGAGTGGCGGTCCCTGACGCAATAACAATTCGCAGCAACGACATGGAACGTCTTGGGAACGAAGCATTTTTAGTGCTTGCCACTGATACACGTACTCCCAGACGATGCAACGTCGGCAGGGAACAATATTACGAGACAGAAGAGGCCGTAGAAACAGCCCCGACAGAGGAGCAAAGAAGCCTTCTCACCGTCATTGCGCTCCTAGCCCTTTCGGGAGGCGGTGTATCGGCAAAAGAGAACGTGCGAGGCACTCTGCCCGTAGACAGCCAGAGCTCGGAAACAGAAAAGCTTGACTTGCACGACCATGCAACTATAATCTCGATGGCCAACGCACAAAGTGAAAGAGACACTACTGAGTCTAGTATACTTGAATGTGGGACATCAATGCCGGTGAAAGGAAGGGTCCAATATAATTCGGATGAGGAGCAACAGGAAGTTCTGACTGCCACTAATGACCATGGAAATTTGATCTGTACGATGAACAGTCGAAGTGACAACGACATGGATACCAGTGGGGGTGACGGCGCGAATAGCCCAGTTGACACTCTGTTCTTGGCTTCGAGCATTGAAACAAACCCATCGGTCGGAAGCACCAAATATGACAATTATCGTTTTGCTTCTAATGACGAGGCTGATAAATCTTTGACAAGCTGGAGAGGCAGGAATGCAAGCTACCTTTACGAACTTGAGAATGAAGTTCTTGAAGCTGGAAATCGGATTGACGAATCATTAAAGGAAGTCTTGAACATGTTTGAGGAATCCCTGAAGCCGCCTAGTGAGGTGTACACGCAAGTTGAAGAGGAATTGAGTTTTGCTGCATCGGATCTGTCGTTACACACGAATAAGCTGAGTGTCAAGGGTTGCCATGAAAGTGACACAGAAACTACCGGGCCTGATGTTTTCTTTGAGTGCAACCCGGCAATGCAAGGGGAACACGAACCTGCTGCAATTGAGGCACCCAGTTTGTGGAATTATGAGGCAACCGTGTGTATCTCTGCTCCTGATACTTGTGACATGATACTAACGCTCTTGCGCATGTCGGTAGCGTGTAGGTGCTGAGATCATATCTCGGTGATGACTTATGAGAAAATGCAGTATTCCATCCGACAGTCTCCAGTTGACTCTCAGTGGTGACACTGATCCATCTTATAGAAGCTGGAGAAAAAGGCACGCAAACTTTCTTAATGGTCTTGAAAATAACATCCATCAAGTGGCAACCCAGATTGATAGGTCAATGCAAGAAGTAATGAATATGTCTGCCACCCAGTCGCTGAAAGGGGGTGATAGGCACAGCGATCGTGAAGAGGACGTGAGCCTTACTGATTCATCTCTCTTCTTTCCCACGTTGGGGACACCCCATCAAAGTGCTCCTGGGCCTGCTTTTGAAGGAGTCCAATGGTGCAATGAAGAGCCAGCACCAGTTCGCTCCTTGGCCGTGGGAGGAACTGGATTCAAAGGAGACGAATGGGGAGCTATGACGCAGGGGGCGTACTCGTTTTGCTGCAATCAAGGAACGGATGGAACGAGTTACACGGGTGATGGCATGACACCTATTGATTCCGCACTGTCATTTGATGGTGCGGAACAATTGGCGATTCAAAATGTTACGCACTTTTCCTGGGACACATTTGGAGCGGAATTTGTTGCACCAGAGTTGGCAAAGGATTACTCAAACGGCCGTCCGTGGTATGGCAGCAAAGGTATCGTAGAGAAATGGGCAGACTGGATTGTTCAGCACGCGTAGTATGGTACGGTACCATCCGATACAGTATGAAGCGCAGCTAGTAGATCACCCAAGAAAGCACAATGGCAACAATCAACAGAGCTTTGCTTGGAGCTACTTTTATTCACCAACACTATTTTATCGCGCATCAGGCACTTTGCTTCGCCCGTTTGATCAACTTTCGAATGATTCATCATTCAATCGAATCGAATCTTCAATCAGGTAGAGTGGCTGATCTGAATTATTCCACAAACTCCACTTATTTCCATGCCTAATACAAGCCAGTCGACAACTGTGAGCAGAAGGAAAAGTAACACCGTGGACCTATCTCGTAGCTAGCCTGGAAACTATCTGATAACTAAAGTTTACATGATCATTATTGGCTCTGAAAACAAGGGACTGGGATCTAGCAGTGTCCCGAGGCAGGTCGCACTGTTGCCGGTGGGCAGACGTACTCTATGCCATGGACGAACGGAACAGCTATCCCCCATCACTTCTGAGATTGCTGCTTGACAGCCTGTAGTCGTGCCCTCAAGGCGGCTGCACGGCTTCCCGAAGTTGAGCTTGTTTCAGGAGCCACTAAGTTGCTCTTTCGGCTAGCATTGGCTGCCGCGAGCCTCTCTCGGAGACTCTGTGTCTGCCTGGAAGCAAGACTCGCGGTATCCATCGTGGACGCAGCTACCGAGCCACCGTTGACATCAGCGCCATAGGCGGAGGAGGGCGATAGGGGGAGATTCACTGGCCTAGACGTTTGAACCTTGGGAGACAAGGTTTTATCCGCCATTTGTGCTTCCTTGGCATTGAGGCGTGACCTCAAGTTCCTGAGACGCTCGGCCATGGCAGCCGAAGCAACCGACTCGTCATCTCTGTCGTTCTCGACTCCATGGGACGACCCGTAAAGTTGCTCGTGGATAAACTTGCGGAATGCAGGTGAAACCTGTTCAAGGTGACTGTTCAAATCCTGCTCGCCATGTTCCGAAATGTATTGGCGGAGGTCCTGAAGAGCCTCAGCACGATCACGTTCGGATTGAGCGTTGGCTAACGCAGCAACCAAAATAGCAATTCCTCTGGACGGAGTCTGAGGGCGGGGTACGGGTGGCTCTGCAACCTCCATGGTTGTCGTTGTTGCGAACTCGCCCAATGCCACACCAAGTGGAGAGGAATATGGATCCAACCCAGCTTGACTCATCGTTTCGCGCAGAGTGTCACAACCAGGAGATTTGGCAAGCGACTCCACCAACGTCTTGGCCATTTTTCCGCAGGCAATGATGCTGTCCCGATCCATAACTGCTGCAGCTTCTTCATGTTTGTCACAGGCCTCAAAATGTTCATTCAAAACATGAACAATGACATCAAGGTCCACTGACTGCCACGCTGGCTTGGTGCCTTCTTCTGCTTTGATGACACGCGCGAAGAGTTTTGTAATCACACGGGACAAACGAGCGTTCAATGCTGAAGCCTCAAAGCTAAGTTGCCGTTGTAGACTCAAGAGAGCACCCAGTGAGGCCTCGCGGGAACCCCCGGTCGCTGCTTGCACGGCGAGCTGATGTACAAGACGATGCGTGGCAAGTGTTAAGAAAGAGCTTCTTCAAGGCAACCATCTCGGCGAGAACACATGCTTACCTTGTTGATTGCTCGGACAACTTGTGTACTCGTGGCCTCGTCAAGTGACGAGGCTTGATTCGAGACGACTAGCCGCGGGTCCAACAAAGCTGTTCCGGTTTCGCGAATCAACAGCGTCAAGCGGTCTTGAGAGGCTCTGGCGGCCATTTCCTTGTCTCGGAACAAAGCCATGAGAGTAGCAAGACAGACTGAGAGCAACGAAACAGATATCCCAGCGCTCTTGGTGGGTGCTTCGCAATCCAGCGAAAATCGCATTAAACTGCAGAGCAAGCGAAAAGGTTGAGATAAGAACAATCATCAGACTGCTGCAATACCGTAGCAATGGGCACTAGTACATACCGAGCAAGCCGTTCTATCATCTCGTCAACGTTGTCGCTGATCGATTGTCGCATCATAGACAAGTCCTCGCTGCTCATACCGACGACTACATTCTGTTGCTTGGACAACGCAGCATGGAATTTTTTCATACACTCAATTCCCTCGTCAAGCTCTTTGCTGCTTTCTGACAGCGGAGTTGGGGCGTCCAGTAACCCAGCAATACATCTCATGCCCAATTCAAACTCTGTGCTTTGGTCTGGGGAAGGGAGAGACTGTGGGGGGCTGAAAATTGCCTTCGGTTGAGGTAAACCGACGGGGGATTCTGCTGGAGCATCCTCTGCGATCGGCGTTTTCTTGGGTTCTGGAGTCCCGGCAGCCGCCACCGGAGTACCGTTAGCTGTAGGTGTCGTAGCAAATGTGAGCTCTGGAGGGTTCTTTGACTTTTCTCGTATCTTCAAAAGACGGGCTCGCAGTGAAGCTGCTGCTCCAACGCTTTCTCTATCGCCATGGTATCTAGGCACCTGGAGGTGTGATGTCGTTGTCGGGGTCGGGATTCCGGTGTGCTGGCTCGAGATTGTTGGAAGTGTCGGTGTGAACGGTCTAGACGGCTTTGATTCGCTTTCCACTAGCCCGCTTGACATTGAGAAATTAAAGCCCATGCTGTCAGTGCTTGCATTGAACGTTGACAAATAGTTCGTGTTGTTGCCGATACTAGTATGTGGGTTTGCATTGACCACATCTTTGGCAGGACTGGGATTTGGAGTGGTTTTGTGCCTGAGGACTAGAGCAGGAAGTTCATCTTGGAGCTCTTGTGGGCTCGGCCCTGCAAAATTCGACTTGTGCGAAGGGATTGCGGGGCTGGACCTTCCAAGCGGGCCTTTATCTGCGGGCGTGTTCTTTTGCGGAGTTGGAATTCTGGAAGAACGTCGGGCACTGTTGCCCATATCCTCCGTTTGCCTGGTGGGCACCACTGCACCACTTGTTTTGCGCCTTTGCCAACGCTCTTCGATCAGACGCCTAGCCTTTTCACTAAGGGACGAGCCACAAATTTTAGCGAGGCGTTGGATATCTCCATTCATCCTTGACAATACAAGCTCCATCAAGTCGAGACAAGCGCTTCGATTTTCCGACAACGTTTCATCAGAAAGAGCCTTGGCAGCAACTAGAACCCCTTTCTTGCCAATGCCACTCAAACCCAGGTGTTCAACACACATGCAACAATCGTGGCAGGCCGAGACTCGTGCCTTCCCTTGCGTGGCTTTGGACAGAACAGCTACCGCCACAACAGATCCAAGGCGCTTCATCGGAAGCACCTCCTCCGATTTCATCTGCACAAGTAGATCGCCAAATACTTGTTGGAACCGACCCTGGCGACAAAGTCAAGGTCAGTTCTCAGTTGAAGATAACGAAAGGAAGGGGGGCAGCAAACCTTTAGAGTTCTTACCTTGGCAAGGCTAGCCTTCTCGAAAACAAAAGGTAGCAGAAGCATCGCCTCAGAGTCGGAAAGTTCGTACTTGATTTCTTGCAAATAGACAAAGAGGTCGTTCATAGCGGACAGCAACGCCTGAAGGCCAACAGTGTGCTCCTTGCTACACATGACAATGGCCATCCAGCGAAAGATCATTTCCAATTGTTCTTCAATGGCAACCCCATCCCCGGCCCTTTCCATTAGGATGGCCTTCGTAACACACTCGCAACCCTTCGTGCCATCATCTTGTTTGCGAATGCCACCGGGAGGAAAGAAGGCTGCAAGTGTCGTGTTGGGCAGCACCGGTGCATATGCTTTCTTTAATTGGCTGAAGATTTCTGAACCGAGGGGTTCCTCGGGATACTCAGGCCAGACCATAGACCTCAACGCGGCCCGGCTCTTTTCCAGACCGTTGCTTCCAGAATCTGTAATCAATGGGTGAGCTGTGGCCTCGCTTTGCGGAGAATGATGCTTCTGGTTGCGCCCGTGAGAGCCGTGTTTTGCTGTTTCCTCGTTTGTTCTAGGAGTCGACGGTACTTGTCGTTCGGGCTTTTTGGCTCCTCGCGCGGATGGCTTAGAATTTCGTGGTTGCACCGGTTCGCGAGACGTTTCTGCGCTCGGTTGATTCTCCTTTTCTCCTTGCGACTCCGACGGTATTGCTCTCGCCAGTTTTGCCAGCATAGGAGCTACAGCGCGCTGTGTAGCCGGTTTCATCCTGTCTGTGCATGCCCTAATTCGTGCCAAGGGGAGACTTCCATTCTTCGAAGACAAATTACATGGCATGAACGTTAAAACGAGATGGATGCAAGGCAACTTCAGTTACAGCGTCACGTATGCTTACTTTGACACACACAGTCAAGATCGTCTCCGCCTTTGATCTTGTATCAGATTTGGTTGATGTGAGACATCTGACCAACGCCTGGGCAACTTTTTCCGACAATACCTGCCCCCGCTGTAGTGCGATTTTTTCCAGATCGGGTAGCTGATCTGCAAAGGTAAGGACAAAGTCCAACAAAAGGGGAAGACCGACAGACTTGAAAACAAAGATAAGGCATTACGTGAGGATGCGCATGCTCGAGGTCAAAATGTTGCCAAGCAAAACTTTTACGTGCCTTCACCGCGGTATCGTTGACCTCACTCGCAAACGCCATCATGAATGGTTCCAATGTATCGTTGTTCAATCCACCGCCTTCAATAGAAGACACTGTGGTCGACAGTCGCAATGCTTCAAGTGAAGAATCGCGGACAGGTTTCTTGATGTCATTCATGGCGCCGTTGAGCAGGGCTGCATGGACGATCTTGCCGAGCTTAGGCTGAGCAGTTTTATCAGTGAAAGACAAAAGAGTACCAATAACTCGAGCAGAGAGCGGCTTTAAGTTGCCTTGAGAATCGGACAACCTGTCGCGGAGCACTCTCGTCAACTCAGCAAGCTGCTTCATCGATTGCGGCGAGCAGTCAACGAGGGAGCTACACTTTTGCAATGCTGCATCCACTTCGTCAATGGCTTGCTTTCTTATTTTCCAAGCAGTCTTACCCTCTTTTGAAGCCATGTTCTTCAGGCTATCTCCTGAGAGCTGGCTGAAAAGATCCATGCGAGGAATTTCGAGGCCAAACCCTTCGTTGTCGTCCTCGTCATCATGCTGGCCGCCCGATCCGTCTGCATTACACTTTCTTCCTGTTGCAATGGAAACACGCGGCCACTCTGCCGATGTGTAGGAAGGATCGTGAGGGTGAGATTCAAGAGTCTTTTCGAGGTTGCCTCTTTCAGAGTCTGGGCACTGTGATAACACCAGTGCTTTGAAGATCGGGCCAAGTTGGGCATGCAACGTTCCAATTGAAGCGTTGGTAGCCTTCTTCACTTTGATATTGGAACTCTTCAACTCCTTCAACAACCAAGGCACCACTTCTTTCACTCCATTTCCAAGTGAAGCGGCGCCAAACTCATTGCAGAAAGAGTTGAACCAGTGTTGGCATTCCTCGTGCGGGACGGGAGATTTGACCTTTTCAACCTTGGCAGCGATTGCGCTAACCACATCCACCGGACGGCTCACCAAGCCAACGTTCAGCAACAGCCCCTTGGCCAACGCAGAAACTTTCCGGTCCGCGATTTTGTCGACCGCCAGATTGACGATGTCGCGCATTGCCCAATCCATCAACGGGTGACCACCATTATAATGGAGATCAATGATCGTGATGAAGAATTCCATTATAGCTCGGGTGACGTTTATGTTGGTTTCCTTGAACCCTCTAGTGTTCTCTTTCACGGCAACAATAAGCGACGCTGAAAGCATCAGCAGATCAGAGGACGGAGCGTCGTTCTCGAGGAAAGCTGCGAGCCCCTTGATGGAATTCTGTCGAGAGGACCACTTTGTTGCTGCACAATGGTGACAGTTCAAACAAGAACATTGATGTTAGTACCCACAGAAAATCATAAAATGAAAGAGTCAAGAAAAGAGTGCAAGTACTCACATTGCAAACCGGCCAGAAGACCCCCATCTTCCTCATCTTCGTTAAAGTACGGGATTTGTGCCTGCGACAAATATTCAATCGCATCGTCGAGAGGAACTGTATTTTGATTCGATGATTCGACAGGAGCCACATGACTCGGAGGCGCTCTGGAAGTTTGGGCGACGGATTTCTTGGCAGGAGCATGGGAAACGCCGCGTTTGGGCTCGTCCTGCACGGGAAGCCGCGCACTAGACGGCTTCGGAGGCTCCTTCTCTTTTTCCTTAGCAGGGGTATCGTTAGCCTTGGCAGCTTTGGACGGCTTTTTCATGCTCTTGCTCAACGTTTTGTAGGCTCTTGCATTGGTCGATTGCAAACCACCAATAACGGCCGAAACAGCGTCCGAAACATCCTCGTCGGGAACGCTTTGAAGATTCTGCAAGACAGCCATCGCGGCCTTTCTCACACCTGCATCGGAATCGTCCAATTTCGAAACGCTCAAATCAGCAACTCGTTTAGCTGCTTTCACCTTCAAGGCTCCCCGCGGCCCTGCAGATTCGCCACGTGTGACGCACCGACCCAGGAAATCGAGAGCGCTTGTTCTCGCGAGGGCATTCTTTTGCTTCTTTTCGTTGACTCCTTCCGGGATGGCGTCCTCTTCCAGCAAGTGATCAAACGAAAGGATACGTCCAAAGAACGAATCCAGGCAAGGACCGATGAAATTTGTCAGTTTTTTGTCCTTCCCCAGTGCTAACAAGTTTCCAAGCAGAGGTCTCAAATGAGGAAAAAGCTTTTCGCCGACGCCTTCAGCAAGCATCGATAGCACCACCATCGACTTGCCAACAACAGCAAAATGTGTGTTCGAGAGGAGTTTCTTCATCTCGATGATGAGTGGTCCGTAGTTGCAGGAAGAGGATGGTTCTGTCAACTTATAAGGTTTCTCTCCGCCACACTCTAGCACTTTGTCCAAGCCAGCAACCTTCTGTGACCATTTGGGTTGTGTAATCATCGTCGCGTAGTCAGTGCTCGCGATTGCTGCTACCAGATTGATAGCCGCTCTTGAAGCAAACCGTTTTGCTTCCATCTCTTTCTTCCCGGCCTCCAACGCTGCAAGCGCGTCCTCGGGCGAAGCTGCTTCTCCCTGTTGATTGCGAAATGACATGCTCGGCGGTGTAGGTTGTGGTTGCCCTTCTATCATCGCGTTTAGTTGGCCCACCTGCGCTTTCTTCATACCATCCAATACGACTTGAATAGGAGCGGTTGACCCCAAGGCACGGCCGATCTCCGCGACAATCTTCAATCCATTGTCTCGCACTTTGGCGTTTGAATGTGTGAGCATTTTTGGAGCAGATGTGTTGACCAAAGCCAGCGGAAGATTGGCTGCACCAAACGAAGTGGCTGCTTGTAGGATGAGTACGGAAGCTGTGAGCACAATCTTGGGCTTCTTCGACGTCAGACCTTGGCGCAAGAGCACATCAATTACTGCGTGTGCAGAAGCAGTGCCGTCGTCGCCCACTTCAATGACTTTCAAGACCACAGCAGCCGTCAGCTTGACCGTCGACGGTCTACTGGACGATAGAGCCCCGCCCTTGACCAGTGCAGCCAGCATTTCTTCAGCTTGTCCCGACATTGTCGCCCCGCGGCAGTATTCCGCGTACAACAACGAAAACTCAAGGGCCGAGTCCAAAGCACTGGCGTTGCTATCGCTCAACATACCGGGTACCAACGAGTCCATCCCATCAACAATGCTTGACGCGTCAAAATGACCTGTTGGTTCCATCCCGTGGACCCTCTCGCCAAGTACATTTTTGAGCAAGTCGTATGATTCTTTTCGAGTCTTCCATGACTTATCCTTCAAAGCACCTGGAAGATCGTCTAGTGTTAGGGAACTCTCTGTCGTGCCAGCAGATGCGGACAGTGTCGTCTCGATCATTGTTGGTCCACTCGAAGGTGCAGCGGGTGCCGCTCGCGATGGCCTTGTTGGTGCTGGTGGTTTAGGACGCCGGGGTGGCTGAGCAGTCAGAGTTTGATGTGAATCAACTGGATCAGCTTCAGTGTCGGCAAACCTGTCAGCTCCACCAGCTCCAGATGAAATGGCCATCAGCTCGGCAAGGAGTGCAGCATCTTCTGCAGCTCCACCACGATCTCCCTTGAAAGTACTGGGTATATTGGACTTCTGGAAGCCACCCCTCTCGGGTAAGGGCTCTTCCACTACGGGATCTGCAGCCGGAAGAGCAGCTTTCTGTTGTGTTCCTTTCTTCTTCCATGGAGGGAGCGGATTGTTGCTGACTGGCTTCTTTTGTTTCACAGGTGCTTGTTGCGTTGCCATTGGGGCACCCTCATTCTCATCTTCAGTTTCTTCACTAAACCTATTTGCAGCTCCAGCTCCTGATGAAATGGCCATCAGCTCGGCCAGGAGTTCAGCGTCTTCTGCAGCTCCACCACGATCTCCCTTGAAGGTACTGGGCATACTCGACTTATGGAAGCCACCCCTTTGGGGCAAGGGCTCTTCCACCACCACAGGATCTGCAGCAGCCGGCGGAGGCTTTGGTTGTGCTCCTTTCATCTTCCATGGAGGGAGCGGATTGTTGCTGGCTGGCTTCTTCTTTTTCACAGGTTCTGGTTGGGTTGCCATGGGGGCACTTCCACCATCTTCGGTCTCATCAACAAACCTGTTTGCAGATCCGGCTCCTGCTGAAATGGCCATCAACTCAGCAAGAAGTTCAGCATCTTCTGCAGCTCCACCACGATCTCCCTTGAAGGTACTGGGCATACTCGACTTCTGGAAGCCACCCCTTTGGGGCAAGGGCTCTTCCATCCCAGGATCTGTAGCAGCCGGTGGAGGCTTTGGTTGTGCACTCTTCTTCCAAGGAGGGAGTTGATTAGTGCTGCCGGGTTTCTTTTGTGGTCCTGGTTGAGTTGCCACCGGGGCACTTCCATTGCCATCTTCAGTTTCTTCACTATCTGCAAATCTGCTGGCTCCTCCCGCACCTGCAGAAATGGCCCTCAACTCCGCTAAGAGGTCGTCATCTTCTGCGGCCCCACCTCTTTCTCCTTTAAAGGTATTGGGCATACTTGACTTCTGGAAGCCACCCCTCTGGGGCAAGGGTTCTTCCACTATGGGATCTGCAGCTGGAGGAGCAGCCTTCTGTTGTGCTGGTTTCTTCTTCCACGGAGGGAGTGGATTGTTCTTGGCTGGTTTCTTTTGTTTCATAGGTTCTGCTTGGGCTGCCATGGGGGCACTTTCATTGCCATCTTCAGTCTCATCGACGAACCTGTTTGCAGCTCCAGCTCCAGATGAAATGGCCATCAGCTCGGCAAGAAGTTCAGCATCTTCTGCAGCTCCACCACGGTCTCCCTTGAACGTACTGGGCATATTCGACTTCTGGAAGCCGCCCATTTGGGGCAATGGCTCTTCCAACAAAGGATCTGCTGCAGGTGGAGGCTTTGGTTGTGCACTCTTCCTCTTCCATGGAGGGAGCTGGTTGCTACTATCTGGCTTCATTGGTTTTGCTGGTTCTGGCTTGGACTGTATTGGCGCAGCTGCAACACCATGTTCAGCTTCTTCACTCTCTGCAAATCTTTTAGCACTGCTTGCATTTGCAGAGATGGCTCTCAGCTCCGCAAGCAGGACTTCGTCTTCTGCAGCTCCACCTCTTTCTCCTGTGAAGGTATTGGGCAGATTTGGTTTCTGGAATCCACCTACTTCTTCCTGTTCCTCTGGTGTGGTTTGCGTGTTCTGAAATGGCTCGTCCTGTGGAGGCCTCTGACTGGCCTTTTGCTTCCAAGGAGGAACTGCTCCATTTGATTTTGTTGTCTTTGATGCAACGACAACGTCATTTTCAGCCTTTGGTGCAGCCTGGTTGCCCTTGAGTTTCCACGGCGGCAATTCTGCGGTCTCCTTTGAGTCGTTTTGCATCTGTACTGACTTTTCTGCCCTTGCCCGGACAACAGGATCGGTTGTCATGTCGTCTGCATCCTCGTCCTGCGAGAAACGATCGGCACCTCCAGCCTTTGAAGATATCGCCATGAGTTCAGCCAAGAGCTCGGCATCTTCGGCATCACCTCCACGCTCTCCTTGGAATGTGCTGGGTTGTGACGACTTTCGGAATCCTCCAAATTGTGGTTCCACTGGAGGCGGGCAAGTTGGAACAGCCACAACGTCAAAAGTCTCATCATCGTTCGGCGGAGCAGATTGGTTTGGTTTGGCAGCTTGCCCTTTTCTCTTCCATGGCGGAAGAGCCGCATTGCTATTGTTGTTTCGTGGGTTCTGAGTTGCTTTAGGCGCAGGAGCGGCAGGAGCTGGGAGTGATTCTTGCATTGCCGGTTGGTCTTGTTCGTCGTTGTCATCGGATGCAAAACGATCGGCTGCTCCTGAATTGGACGATATTGCGCGCAGTTGTGCTAATAACTCTTCGTCCTCAGCAGAACCACCCCTGTCCCCCTTGAAAGTGTTGGCGAGACTTGATTTCTGAAAGCCGCCCGTTTCAGGTTGTTTGGGGGGTGCTGCAACTACAGTTTCTCGATGCGGTGATTCCGGCGGTTTATTTTGAGTTTGATTGGCCTTTCGTTTCCACGGCGGCAACGACGCTTCTGGTTTGGTCGCAGGCGAGGAAGATGCAACTGCTGAGGTTGCTGTCTTTGGATTTCCCTGTCTTTTCCACGGCGGCAAGGGTTTTTCGGCGGTTTTTGGCACGGCCTCCACGTGATTTTCGGGTGCAGATTGCTCATTGTCGTCGCTACCAGCGAATCTGTCCACACCAGCAGATTTGGCCGAAATAGCTCTCAGCTCGGCCAAAAGATCTTCGTCCTCTGCAGCCCCACCACGTTCTCCCTTGAATGTTTGGGGTAGTGTCGGCTTTTGAAAGCTGGGTGCAAATGCTGACGGTTCCGAGAGCACACTCATAGTTTCCTGGTCTTCGGATTGAGAGGACACCAGGACATCCATTCCGCGTTTATCAGATTTGGAATTCGTACCAAATTTGGGCCTTGCTTTGATTGGAGGTCGATCACTAGTAGTAGTATTGTTGGGTCTAGCGCTGGGTGGTGGCTGTTGCTGTTGTGGCTGTTGCGAATTGATATTGTTTGGTTCGGCTTCTTCATCATCCGTGGCAAATCTGTCGACTGCTCCTGACTGATTGGAAATTGCTCGAAGTTCGGCAAGCAAATCGTCGTCATTGGCATCTCCTCCTCTTTCACCCTGATACGAGCTTTTTACGTTTTGGAATCCAATCGGTTGATCCTCATTGCCAGCAGCGCGGGCTGGACGAGTCGGTTTGAATGGAGATTCCTCTGGTTGTTTTGGTTTCTGATTGGCCCGGCCTCTCTTCCAAGGTGGCACTGGTTGCTGATTATTCTTTCGTGATTCCGTCTTTTTGCTGCTGTTGGTGCTTCTGCTTTGAGACGAAACAGGCCCGTCGATGGATTGCTCATTATTATTATTGGCACCACCACCATTCTCATCCTCATCGCCGACAAATCGACTCGCGGCAGATCCAGCAGAAATTGCACGAAGCTCGGCCAACAGCTGGGCTTCGTCCTCGTCCATCTTGGACAAACTTCAGTTTCTCTTTGCTTTTTCACCTAACGCTGATATCTTCACACTACAAGTGTAATCCAAACTTCTTTCGACACTCGCTCTTATCCAATAGTGCTTCCATCAAGTCAAAGTTCTTCCACGTGACAATGCCAATGGTTGTGTATGTTGCTTCTAGCTAGCCAGAGTCGAGTCGAGTCGAGTCAATATTATTTGTTCTCTTGGACGAGAAGGGCTGATGTTATCCAGACAGGATCATGCATTGCGGCAATGCGTCCATTGCACCTTCGAACGACTTCTGAGATTGACTTGCATCGGTTTGCCTTTTCAAGGCTAAATGTTTCGAAAATGGATGCCATGCGTGCAATTGGGAGATTGAACGAGAACCAAATCGATCGAACAATCGGCTCGATCGATCAATCGATGTGTCAAACGAGGAACGTGGAACGTGGAAACACAACCGAAAAGCAAAAATGGCGTATGTTTGCGGCCAGCGTTGATGATGCTCTAAACCAAACAAACAGCCACCCCTCTCTTATATTTTATACCGAGTCTACGAAAGAAAGAATGGACTACGTTCTAGCCCAGATGTACCGCGGGTCAAGATGGCTTTGGTTGCTCGACGAGCTTGACAGTGCAGCGGAGTCGAGGAAGGTTTATGGTGTGATACCCAATACAGTAGAACGGCTGTAGTGGGTGGTGAATCTCTTGTTGGTGCGCTTGTCCAACATTATTCAACCGCGTTAATAGGCAAAACCTACATCTGCCAGGGTTGTTCGGGCTCTGGAAAGACAATGTCAGCATTGTTTACTTGATGCATGGAGATGTGAACATTCGCCCTCGTCGGGCCATCATGAAACGAACATGTGATTCTAGGGATTTTGCGACTTCTTTTTTGCGAAGCCTGGGAGCAGCAGATGCAGCTCCTGTCATTCATAGATTACTCGCCAGAGCATTAATTCCAAAAGAAAAAAGAGAAGCTCCTGCAAAAGTCGGTTTGAGCGGCTGGTACGATATTGCCGCCGCCAAGCTGCGCAGAATGAAGTGTTTGTCTGGTAGCTTTGAGACGGAACTTATACGCATTTGCCGTGAAGACTTGCGACTATCCGTGGACTCGCGAACAAATTCTGTGGATCTTCCCCTTATCATCATCGATGGCCTGATAATGTCAAAAGAGAACCAAGACTTTGTAGGTGCTCTGTACGAGGCAGTCCTTGAATCCGAGATCACTGCCTTGATTCTTGTGAAGGAAGATTCTTGGGCTAATGAGCTGATTACGCTCAATGGTGGAACGCAGATTCTTCCCGTGGACCAGGTGATCAACAATCCAAGAGAAGATGCCACAAAGCCATTCACAGCTACCCCACAATGGAAGGGACTGGGTTGGAGGCTTCGTGACATCCAAGCTTTCGCGGACATGGAGGGAATCAAAGATGTCGCTCTTCGTGAAGGAATGACTCCCCAGTAAGTATTGGATGCACACCAAAAAGCAGAAAGATCGCGAACCGAAATTCAGTCAGGACAAGATGGATCGTAAAAGGTTTCTCGGCAACATAGTGTGTATGTCTGGGGAACGTCTGAACATATGTACTAGGGAGCTAGAACTCAATAGGAGAGTTTATGCGCTCATGGAGGCTTGTATCCGAGTGGGTCCCTTTGGCATACTAGCCAGTGATTTCCAGCCGCCGAGCCCGAGCGAAAGAGGAGGGGTCGGTCGCTGCTGTTCTTGCGGCGCACCATCTTGAGGGGGTCGTCTTTCATGATCCTTAGTGGTCTTCCCATGGACTGGGGCGAGTTGTGTCGACACGATCCGTGCAAGGGAAGGCAACACCAAAACGCAAAAACGTTGCGGGGCTTGTGTGTTGCTCTGTTCCCTTGGCCACAGCGAGACCCAGCTCCAGTGGTTGTTGCGCTGGAAGTCCACCGCCTTTGTGAAGTGCCTGCGCAATGTGGCTATTGTGGCCGTGAACAGGCCAAGACACTGGATGAGGCGGCTGGCATGCCTTGTTTTTTGCGATGAAGTGACGTGGTTTTCCCCTGTGCAGTTTTGTTCCCAACTTTCATATTATTTCTTCATGACGGATTGGTTCCATTTCAGAAGTGGGTTCGTGATGTCTGTCTTGTTGTTGCGTGCTCTGGTATCTGTCTGCAAAGAACGTGTTCTGATATGGAGGTTCCACAAATCGCCAGGTCACCAAGACACCTAAACAGCAAGCAATCACGCACGCAGCAAAAGTCAATGAAACACTGATTTGATTCAATTGAGTAAAGACGAGGCAACCAAGCAATGCCCCAGCTTTTCCCATACCGGCCGACAGACCGTGCATGGATGACCGCACTTCTCTCGGAAACACTTCCATGGGCATCACGTATGTAGAAACATTGCACCCCCAGTTCAAGGCGCAGATGAGCAATGCACACGACACAAATCCTCCCCATTTCGAAATGTTGGACCCAATAAGGTCTCGACTCGCATAGAATATCAATAGATTAAGACTTGCAATGCCAATCATGACAAAGCCCCATCCTTGAAGGGGTTTGGGGCCACCCATTGTCTCCATCATTTGGATTGCCAAAACCACTCCTGGGATGCTATGAAACAGAAACATGGAATCACAATCATGAGCGTTTGTCGTCAGACTCCAAGAGGTTGCTGTTGACTGTCCTGCGGCAACAAGACTCCTTACCCCATCATGGCAATCAGGGCATCTCTCCAGGAAACTCCAACCAGGCCGGTACCATCCCCTAGTACCGTTGAAATGATTTCAGGTTGGTTGAAGGCGGTTCCGTAATAGACAAAGTCATATAGAGCCCACGACACTCCAGTGCCGACCAGTTTGCGCAGGTGCTCTCTATTGCGAAGTGCCCCCAGCAACATTGCCAGTCCGCTTTGTCCTCTATTCCTGTTGCCAAGGACTTCTCTGTAGCCTCCTCTATTGCGACGGCAGATTGTCGGGCAGTTTCCTCCTTGATTTGCATCATTGGCAAGTTCTTGCCACGACAGGAATATCATGACAATGCTGGGTATCGCACCCAAACCAACGAGAATGACATATTGTTTGTTGGTACTGGTGACGTATTTCCTACCAACTCCGCTGTGCTCGTCTCCAAAAACCAGGAGGAGTGCCCATTGCACAATGAAAGGCATGATGGCTCCTGGAGTCTGCCAGAAGAATCCCTTGGCAACTTCTTTGGCCCGATGCTCTTTCTTGTCTGGGCACTCCACATCCGACTCGGCTGCTTGTGCTCGAATCGCAGATCCCAGTGGATCTGAAATAATTTAATTGTTGAGCATTTTGAGAGGAAGAAACGAGAGTGAGGTGTCCACCAAAGACATGGATAATTGTTCCTGCTCAAAGAATGCAATGCGCGCCACCCTACTACCGGTAGTACAATCAAACCAACTTGCTATTGACACTGTACTTACATTTCCCCCCGACCCCGAATCCCAGAATGGCTCGAAAGACAGCCAACAGCGTGTACACTTGTTCAGCCCGTTGGAAATCTCCGGCACCCACGAGGGGAACCAGAGTACTGTTGTGCATTAATGTTCGAGGTCAAGCAAGAAGAAGAACACGAGCCTTGTGTGAGTTGCTGTCTCGATGTTCTTCATTTCCTTTGTTTGCTTATATAATCTGTACCATACCTCCCCAGAGTTCCCAGCAAGGCAATTCCATTTGTCACCAGCATGGCAAGGTGGAGCGACCCACACAAGGCTTCTCCAATGAATCCCATCGAAGATTGTCCCAATATCGCTCCCAAAAACACAGCACTCTTGAGCAAGGAATCAGCGTTGGACGAAAGTGGATACAAGGAAGGATTGTCTGCTTGATTGGTCACTATGTACCGTATGCGATGGACAGAACAGAAGAAAATGAGGAGACAAAACTACCAATGAGACTCTACCAGTAGCCTCAAAGAAGCATGTGAAATTCTGTAGTTCAATGTGCATGGGTACAATTACCTACCTCTGCAATGATCCAGCAGCAAGAGTGCTGGGGAGATCACCCCCAAGTTGTATTGAATTGAAAAGTTGGACAGTGCACTGATGATTTCGCCATATCGTTTTCTTTGTCGTCCCCTGCCACGAGCCACCGGCTCTTGCGGCACCGACGGAACAGTTATTTCATTATCACAGCCATTGTCGTTGTCATTCGAATCCATCGAAGAAGCGGCACGTCGAAACCTTGTTCTGTTGCTCAAGCTACTGGGCGAAGGAACAGGCATGGAAGAGACCGTTTCGCTCCTCTTCTACCGTACTATAGTATAGTTAGTTGTAGCAGGTTACTGGTCTACATACATGAGGGATGTCATCATCTTGACTACGCAGACAGCAGCAAGAAATTCTCGTGTGGATTGAAGGAAGCCTCCCCTTCGTTCGCAGTTTACTTGTGGGCAAGTGTGCTTCCCTTGGATCTTTGGATCTTTCTCTTTCTCGCTCTTCCCGCAGTCGAGAGTGCGCAGTTCTGTAATGTTCTAATTTTATTTTTTGAAGCAACAATCATAGAAAACAAGAAGTCAAACAATCATCCAGTGAAAAGAGTAAACAAGAACCATGAGCTTTGTGGGACGAGCGTTGGCAGCTACCAGTAGTAGGACCATTCCAGTGGCTCGAGCAGGGAACCGTCCACTCGCCTTTGCTTCACAACCGCGCAGTTCCCAACGTCGTCTCTTTTCTTCCGAATCTCCTACTACCAAAACCGTTGCTGCCGAATCTCCCTCCTCGACTGTTGCGCAACTGCAGAGTAATAATGGCAATTCCGATTTGCTCGCCCGACATAATAATGTAGTAGTGATAAACAACATTCCGAGACATGGAAAGGGCGATAAAGTTTTGACCCTCAATGTCGGCGGGAAGGAATTCTGCACGCTGCGATCCACCGTGGCATCCAACCGCATCTTGGCCGAACATGTGGCGCGAGCCGAAGCCAATCAGGAATTCACTCATGGTGGCTCGGCCGTCTTTATTGACCGAGATCCTCAGCACTTTCAGCTCATTCTCAATCACTTGCGCAACAAGGTAGAGGGCCTCTCTTACTCCTCCAAAAAGAAAATTAGTTACAAGTCCAGTTATGTGCAGTTGCCCAAAGATATCAAGGAATTGAGGGATATCTACGTCGAAGCCACACATTATCAAATTAAAGAACTACAGGCAGCATCTTGCGAACAAAATGCCATTGTCACGATTATTGGGGCACTGGGTGGTGGAGGTGGCAACCCTTTTGATCAGTCAGCAAGGCTCCTACAGCAAGTACGGCGAGGGTTTGTCGCCTTGGGAGGGATCAGCACAGTGGCGATTGGATCCCAACAAACCGACCTGAATTCCATACTATCGTCGCTCTTTCCAGCATGGTTCCCACCCAAAGACAAAGATGCAGATACGCCTGTAGTGGCCTAACTGACAACGACGGAACTCGAACACTTGATTGCACCTTGTTTTTCAAGAAAGAGACAACAATTAATGCAGGTACCAAAACAGAGGCGCCAGAGCAGCAGTGGCATCGCAACGGCAGCACGGCAGAATTTTTGAATGACTCGTGCTGTTGGATTTGCTGTCATTTGTAACAATTCTTGTTTACTAGTCCAGTAGTAGGCTGATGGTTCGTACAATTGCAAGTTTTGAACTGGACTTTTAATTAGAATGAGTCAATCAGTTCGTTCAGAACAGTCTCAAGCGCCAAGGCGGGATCGGACAACCGTCTTCCTGGGGCCACTTCAGCACTTCCTCATGTTTGAAACGGAACACCCATTGAGGTTGTCAGATCATTCCATCTGCAGCCATTTTCACAAGCACAGATCAGTACATGGAATCCCAGGGACAGCCATTGTTTCTGGTCCAGTTCAAGACGGCCATATTTCCAGCTCTTGCAGCATCAGGTACCGGTATCTGGTCCCCATGGACCCGAAGCCCATTTTCCTTCGTAATTTATGTGAGCTCCGGAAGGCAGCTTTTTAGCAGTTGAGGTACTACCTGGTACCGATAGTACCGGTATGGTGAAATCATCAGTGCACTGTCCAACTTTTCTATTCAATACAACTTGGGGGTGATCGCCCCCGCACTCTTGCTGCTGGATCATTGCAGAGGTAAACCAATGTGTTATTTAGCATGCTTCTTTGAGGCTAGACTACTGGTAGAGTCTCATTGGTAGTTTTGTCTCCTCAATTTCTTCTGTTCTATCCTCCATATATATAGTGACCAATCAAGCGGACAATCCTTCATTGTATCCACTCTTGTCTGATTCCTTCTCAAGAGTGCGGCAGGGTTCGCTAACCAGTTCTTTCGGTTACCGGTTATTTGCCATTTGGTTACCGGTTGTTCGATTTGGTTACGTAACCGGTAACCGGCAACCGGCACCTCGCGATAACCGGTTACTCAACCGGTAACCGGTAACCGGGTCGTTTCGACTGGTTACTTTTGGACCGGTTACCGTTACTTTGACCGGTTACCGGTTACCAAACTGGTTACCCATTCGGTTACTCATTCGGTTACTCGAATTTCGAAACTTGCCGTTTCCTCTCATAAATTCGCCAACCAATAACCAATAGGGGCAACCTATGTCCGTTTGGTTACTCATTTGGTTACTCATTTGGTTACTGGTTTCTGTTTATTCGTTTGGTTGCCTCCAACATACCGTCCAAGCTACCGTCCAGCTAGCTTCGTAATGTCCGAGTCAAGGGGATTGGACGATTTTGGAGCCGCCCTGAGCATAGCCGATGGCGAGAACAGCACAGGTCACTTCTCCGAAGAAAACCGAGCCGATGCCGAGTTTGTCGAAGGCCAACTGGTTCAACGCAACCTGAACGACGACCTGGAAGAAGAAAAAGAAGAGGAGCCTTCCGACGAAGAAGACATATACGGCCCCCCAGTCGACGAAGTAGTTGAAGTCAATGTGGTTGAGGATCAGCCCGAGAACGAGGACGAGGACGAGCAGGACCAAGACTCCAAGAGGACGAGGAGATGATGACGATCCACATGAGGATCCTATTGAACAAGATAGGGAGCAGTTGACTTCTAGCTATGCGCAAGCCAAGTCTTTGTTCACTTTCCCCTTGCGCAATGACTTCAAGACTACCTCAGGTGAAGGCCGTTCGCCTTTCTGGCAAATAGCTAGAGTTGTGTTGATTCGGAACCCCAATAGTTGGGATGAGCTGGACGAATTGGATTTGGTGGCCAAAGAGAAGATGTTGAAGAGTATTGGAGACAAACGTCCTTACATGGCCTGCATGGCATGCATTGATGACGAAGGGAAGCCTCTCCACAAGTGTCTGTTCATGCCGTCCTACTTGAAGAAGGAGAAGACTTTGAAAATGGTTTATGATGGAACGGGGAACCTATCGAGTCACGTCTTCAAGGTTCACAAGGAAGTTCATGCCGCCATCAAACATCATAAAAAGCACTACAAATGGGGAGACATGGCACCCAGCCTGCCGGTCCTACACCAGGAGTTCCTGCCGCTGCCGGAAGACCAACCCGAGCAGCTATGGCCGCCGCAGCTTCCGCCGTTGCTTCCCATGAATCCATATCTACTCTTCTGGGTACCGGTAGTACTCCGGTGGGCATGAAAAGGACCCCCCACCAGCACATGGACATTGACGATTCCTCAGCAGAGTTGGTTGACCGGTTGGCAGATGGTTTTCCCGAGTATGGAGCCGACGTGAAAAAGGAATTCAACAAGATCCGTCTACTGGCAATGATGCTGAACCCGTTCACCAAAGGAACGGCCCTTGACGAGGTAGAGACCTTGAGTGAGCACGTCGAGGAATATGCCAAGGACAAATACAAGCACGTGGCCACCGGTGTTCGGGATCTGGCCATGAAGGAGTTGAGGCAGGCGATTGAAACCTTGTGTGACCAAATGATGAGTGACGAAGAGCCTGTTCCTGCGAGGCGGCGCAGGCGGAAGAGGAGCCAGAAGTTCCGATTCACAAGCTATCCAAGCTCGAACAACGGCGAAGGAAGAAGCAGAGAACTGCTGAAACGGTGAACCGTCAACCAGAGCAACACAGGAAGGAGTGGACAAGGTGACTCAGGTTATAAAATCCTGGATGGACAGCAAGTTCGACATTGTGTCTGTACTGACAAAGCAGAAACAGAAACCTCTTACCAAAGATCAAGTCCGCAGCATCGGCACTAAGGACTTGATTGGATCAAGAACATTGACTTTATTGCCAAGAACTTCGATGTTATGGAATGGTGGGAAACTGTTGGAAAGAGAGACCACCCGTTCTGTATCCTCTTGCTTGCATCGTCTTGTCATGCCCGACAGTAATGGGGATCAAGAGAGAACCTTCAGTGGAGCTACATGGATGAACGATAGGCTAAAGGCAAACCAGGGCGACTTCACATTTCAAATGAAGGTTCTCACGTACAAGAATCGTCACTTCCTGCGCAACCACAGGCACCTCGTGGCGGTTGCAAGGTTGCTGGAAGCCAAGAACAGGACGAAGAGACTCTTCAGAGAACAGGTGAAATCCCTCAACAAGCCACGCAAAGAAGGAGAACCAGATCTGACAGAAGAGGATATCACAATGGAGATGCTGGAGGAGCTGGAGTACTACTCAAAGAGGAAGAGGAGCAGATTCGTGCTGCCAATGCTGCAAAATCCTAAGGTATGTCTAGGAAACAGCGATGATTGACATGGGGCGGAAGCAAACAACACAAAAGTCTTGCGCTGCATGTTCAGACCCTCAAGGTAACCACTTGCAATTGGTTACTAACCAGTGGTTACTGGTTACTTACCTATAAAATAACCAAAAGTTTTGTTACTCAACCAGTAACCGGTAACCAGTACCCTAGAACTTTTGGTTGCTCAACCAGTAACCGGTAACCAGTACCCTAGAACTTTTGGTTACTCAACCAGTAACCAGTAACCAGTACCTAACCAATTGGTTAGCGATCCCTGGAGTGCGGTCTTGGGGGAGCAATCTTGGGATTTTCCATGGGATTCATTGGAGAACCCTTGTGTGGGTCACTCCACCTTGCCATGCTGGTGACTAAGGTAGATGGGGTTGCAGATACTAGCTCGTAGTCATGGTATTCATAGTGTCGTATTGCATATCTGTAACCTTATGTTTACCTGAACTACCTGCTTGGATCATCGGGATTGAATCGGCCTCTCTCTCATCGAGGTAAAGACAGCTATGCTGGTTTAAAACTTGAGGCCCCAACCATGCAACAGCCAACACGCTGATGCTGATCCCACGAAGCAGGGAAAATAGAATTCTGTTCGGCTACTACGACTTGTCCACCGTGCAGCTACCCTAAAACCTGAAAGCAGGCCAAGTTTGCCCTTTAGAATGGCTTTTTTCTAATAGTGGCCCCAACGATCGTGGAGCGCACCCTGGCAGTCATGAAGCGCCTAGCTAGGGTGCTCGACGATGGTGACCATCTTTCTCCGGGACGTTGGTGGGTGCGCAACCATGAGCGTTGAGGAGTTGAGATATCAGTTCTCACAGCACTAACAGCGCACAATTCTCCTTTGTTGAACAAAGTACACATTCGAAAGACAAGCCGCTCGAAAGATTATCTCCACCATGATGCGTTGCCAACATCTCGCCCTTTTCTTCACTCTCCTTGCTTTCCTTGCCGTTGGCTCGGATGCCCGTTTGTCGTCGCAGGTGACCAAGACGCAGAAGAAGCGTCATTTGCAGAACAATGGCTACAACTACGGGTACTACAACTACCAAGACCAAGGCAATCAAGGCAATGGGAACTACAACAATGGAAACTACAACGGGAACAATGGAAACTACAACAATGCCGGTGACGATCAGAACAATGGCAACAATGATAACAACAACGCGAACAACTACAACAACGGCGGCAACTACAATTACAACGGCCAGAACAATGGATACTATGACAATCAGGGCAACTACAACGAGCAAGGCCAGGAAGAAGGCTCACAAGACCAAGAGGCTGAGCAAGGGTCACAAGATCAAGATTACTATTACCAAGATCAATACCAAAACCAGGACTACGACTTTGACGCTCAGAGCGACGTCACCGATGATGGATTCCATGTTGAGCAGATGACAGTCGAGAACTACAAAAAGCTCTTGAAGGTTCACGACAAGATGGAAGCATTCAGGCTGGCCACCATCCTTCTCTGCGTCGTTGTTGTCTATCTGATGCTTTACGTTGCGTATTTGCGCTGGGTTGTCCGTTCCTATCGCGAAAGCACCGACAAGGACGCGAAGACAGTGGCTTCCACGACCCAAACGGTTTCCAAAGCTCCCCTTACGAACTACGAGAGGGCTTGAGCGTGTCGTAGTTGTTAACTGAACCTACATATAGTGATATCGTTTTGAGAATGTACATGCCTTTTGTAGCTGATTGATAGACAACGACGACCATGGCGCCGAAAAGGTACTTTGGACTATTTCTCGAAAAATGGGCATGAAACTCACCCACGTTCCGCGCAAGTTCGGGTCCCGAATGTAACGCGACTGAAAGATCCTCAAGATCTTCGGAGTTCAGCTTTGATTTGGCATCCTGTTCTGATTCTTGAGCCTTCACGCCATCGCCGCTGTTGTGATGGAGTGACAGTCCCCAGCTCCTGTTATTCCTGGGCAAGTAAGATGTTCCAAGCCAGGATCTGTCGCTCGAGGTTGTTCAGGTGGCAGCTCGCCTCAGGTTCCCCTCAACTGAAGAGGGCGAAAATTCCACCGAATGGTAGGCTACCGGTAACCCAGAACTTCATCCCAGGTTTTGCTACACTCTTTTCCTTGACGTCAGAGAGACAGTTTTCCACTCTAAAGAAAATTCCGCCATCTCAAGCCAATGTGGTTGTGGTAGGTGGCGGTATTATCGGAACTTCTGTGGCTTACCACCTGGGAAAATCAGGTGTAGCAGATGTCATTCTTCTGGAACAGGATGCCCTGACGTCTGGCACAACTTGGCACGCCGCTGGGTTGGTCAATACTTTTGGCAGTATGAGCGAAACATCTATCAACATGAGACGGTATACACGAGACCTCTACGCCAACATTTTACCGGAAGAAACAGATCAGGATGCGGGGTTTCGAGACGTTGGCTTTATCGAGTTGGCTTGCGATCCTGATCGGCTGTACTATTATCGAAAAGTTGCCGCGTTCAATCGATATTTGGGTGTCGATGTACGAGAAATCTCGCCGGAACAAGTCAAGGAGCTCTTTCCCTTGTGTGAGACAAGCGATGTCTTGGCAGGTTTTCACGTGCCCACAGATGGTAGAGTCAATCCTGTAGATGCTACCATGGCTTTGAAAAAGGCCGCAACCAAGTTATACGGTGTGGAAGTCTTTGAAAAATCGCGAGTGGCTCGTGTTGCAAAAGACTACAGCAGAGGTAGCGTATTGCCACATGTCACTGGGGTCGAGCTGGAAAGTGGGCATGAGATTCAAGCCAATGTCGTCGTCAATTGCGCCGGCATGTGGGCCAGAACCCTGGGTGAATCGTGTGGGGTGGACACAATACCCAATCAAGCAGCCGAGCACTACTATGTCATTACAGATGCCATGCCAGAGGTAGATCCTTCCTGGCCAGTTATTGAAGATTCATCCAAGTGTGTGTACATTCGCCCTGAGGGGGCTGGTTTATTGGTGGGGCTCTTTGAATGGGATGGCGCATCCTGGAACTCCGACAAGGATATCCCAAAAGATTTTAGCTTTGGACAATTGGATCCTGACTGGGAACGATTGGGGCCATACATTGAGGAAGCCTACCAGCGAGTGCCAGCATGCCAGGATGTTGGTATACAAGCACTGTTTTGTGGCCCAGAATCTTTCACCCCTGACAATATGCCTGTCATGGGAGAAGCACCGTATTTACAAAACTTCTATGTGGCTGCGGGGATGAATTCGTTGGGTATCACGCAGGGAGGTGGCGTCGGGAAAATTATGGCCGAATGGATCCAAAAAGGTCACCCACCATTGGATTGGGACGTAACCGGAATCAATATCAATCGGTTCCACAGCTATCAGACGAATCCAGAATATCGGAAAGCAAGAGCTGGGGATGCCTTGGGGCATACGTACAAGGTACACTATCCTGATTCACAATATCATTCGGCTCGAAATGCCAAGCAATCTATATTCCATGAACGACTACTGGAAAAGGGAGCTTACATGAAGAGTGTAAGTGGCTGGGAATCTCCGGGATGGTACAACAACGACAGAGGCAGCAATGAACCACTTCAACATAGTTTTGGTCGAGAGTCGTGGTTCCCCCAATGGGAGGCCGAACACATGGCGTGTCGCAACAATGTGGTTTTGTTTGACATGTCGTTCATGTCCAAGTTCCTGGTCCAGGGTTGTGATGCTGGTTCCTTTCTCAATCGACTTTCGACTGCGAAGGTTGCCGGAGAGGATAACAAGATTACCTACACCCAGTGGCTTAATGAGCAAGGGACTATTGAGGCAGATTTGACTGTCACCCAGTTGTCTCCACAGGAGTTCATCGTCGTGGCCACTGACACTATGCACCATCACGTCCTGAGCCATATGAAGAGGCGTTTGTCACGTGATATTCATGCCACTGTCACGGACATCACCGGCCAATACGCACAACTCAACTTACAAGGTCCACAATCACGTTCTTTGTTGCAGCAGCTAACCACAACGGACTTGTCAACAGAGTCCTTTCCATTTCGTCATGCAACTACCATTGACATTGGACTCGCCAGAGTCCTGTGCATGAGAATAACCTATGTGGGCGAACTGTAAGTGATTCTTTGAGGGAGATCCAGTGAGGCGGTCCTCATTGGTGCAACTTATGAGTTCGTTTGAATCCATTTGCAGAGGCTACGAGCTTTTCATTCCCACAGAACAGGCGCTTCATGTATACGACAGGATACAATCGATTGGAGTGCAATCGGCAGGATTGAGAGCCCTTGGGAGCCTAAGAATGGTCTGTAGTGCCGTTCGACACCTTGTGCTTCAGCAGGATGACAATCTCACTCTTAGGTCCGCGTACTTGATTTGATTCGCGATAGGAGAAGGGTTACAGAGACTACGGGCACGATATTGATGGAACGGACACTGTCTTACAAGCCGGCCTAGGGTTCACCTGTGACTTCAACAAAGATTCCGGGTTCATTGGAATGGAACAGGTGCTGCAGGAGAAAGCACAATCCAAAGAGCAGGGCGGTTTGCAAGTGAAGATGGCACAAATCCTAGTCACCGATCCAGAACCTTTGCTTTCCCACGGCGAGGTTCTTTGGAGAGACGGACAAAGAATAAGTGAGATCCGTGCATCATCATACGGGCATTTCCTGAACGGGGCCGTAGGCCTTGCAATGATACAGGCACCCAGCGGCTTCAGAGTGAACAAAGACTTCATCAAGAGTGGAGATTGGCAAATAGAAATAGCCAACAAGAGGTTTCCCTGTCAGCTCTCGTTTGCACCCATGTACGACCCGAAAAGCCTCAAAGTCAAAGTTTAGAGCGCTGGACACATTATTGACAACGACTTATCGTAGTCAGCCACCACGGTGCCGCAGCCGGGGACGAAGTGCCGCGAATCGGGTCTCCTTTGGCTAAAGTCAATCGTTCGTCAGCGAGAGAGCTCCTTAAGGCGTTGTGTTTTGAAAGTAATTGAAGGTATTCAAGTAAGTGAGAGAGCTCAGGCGTTGTGTTATGAAATTAATTGAAGGCATTGAGCCATAGGTCTAGCTAATGGACGCCCCGATCCAATCCTAGGCAGCTAGCATTCTTCCGTGTTTATTCGTCGTCAATAGCTTTACCATGCTCCGATGATCTCAGATAGAGACACATCAATCTCAGCGACACGTCCAAAGCGTCGTGAGCTGTATTTCTTGTACACGCTCGTAATACCGGGAAGATGGTCCTTCTCTTTGAGAATGGCGCGTGCAACAGGAACAACCTGCTCTTCACGATACTCTGCATATTTCAACAAGGTGGGGCTCCAAGGTTTCCGTCCGGTAGCATTGCGGGCGATAAGAACCGAAGCAGCAGCAAGTTGGCTTGGTAGGTAGGTGAGCAAGGGGTAGCTCAAGAGTGTCTCTTCCAAGACGTATGCGGCAAGTTGAGCAAGGTTCTGGTCGGCATGTCCAGCCTTGAGGTAGCGAGGCAGAAATGAGAAGGCCGTCGGGGCCGATATCTTGAATCCCAGGGCACTGAGGATTTGTGTCTCCATCTTGACGAACTCTTGTCGGCAGTACAGATTATCACAAATGGCGACAAGGTCGTTAACCCACAGAGCGCGGGAAACTTCCTCATACTTGGACGCGATGAATAGCGCAGTGGCCCCGACCAGCTGCAGCGTGCTTCGCGGTACTTCGTTGACACTACAGTATCGGTCGGTAAGATTCACAGCAAGATACAGCGTTTCACTCCCGAGCCGGAAGCTGAATTGGAGGGTCACCAACCAATCAACTAGAACCCCGCGCATTTCTTCAGTAATCTGAGGCTGCATTGCCATAAAGTGGGGAGGGACGTGGGTCATTGTGCGTTCCTGCACCTTGAAATGAGAGTAGATATCAGCGGCATACTCCGAAACAGCAAGCTCGTCGTCTTTGTCGCGTTCGTCGATGTCCGTCACTCGTCGACTCTGCTGATAGCGAGGGACACCCAGCTGCAAACTGGAGGACTGACCAAGAAAAACACCTGACGCTTTGGTAGGGACGTTGATATCACTGGGGATGCAGCTCGAACCAGTGGCGATGGCGTGGGTATTGTTGCTGGGTTCCTGGATTCCAAACACATTCCGTATGGTCGGTTCTCGCTTTGTAGGCAGTATGAAGGCAGACTTTCCCTTGAGATTGTTGCTTTTTGAGGAAATGCCTTGGTTTGCATTAGTGATATCCTAGAATATGACGAGCAAAGGAAATAGGTGAGTTGCGTCATCGACGATGCGGGGATCACAACCACAAACGACGTTGCTCGGTGCTTACCGCGAAAGCCTTGCGCCTCGGATTACCAACGAACGAAGCCGTGGGATTCATGCTATTTCCATTGTCTATGATCATTGTATTATACTGTTCGATGTGTAGAGAGACAATTGACTAAGCGGAGAGATAAGTGCAATGTTGATTGTTGATTGTACGTCTTGAAAAAGATGACTACGCCCCGTATTTGTGCTAAAGATGAATGCGAAACATTCAGATGAAAGATCTTTGAAGACTTCCCTTCGTTTGATTTTAGATTAGGTTTCAATTTCGCTTGATTTCAAAGTCGCAATCAAAATGGTAACATCCATACATCAGCGAACGCATCAAAACCATGCCTCGCAGAAAAGTAGCGAGTTTTGATTTCGATTGAAATTGTGGCCACCTCTAGCGAAGTGAAGTATTTCGGCCATCTCTACAGTTATTTTTAAAATTTAAACGTTAGCCTGAACCCTTCGATAAAGATACAAAGCCACGACTGAGCTACCGGCGCGAACCGCGGAAAGCTTTATGGATACGACGTGTACCACTTCAAATTGATTTTTGGCAAGCCGATGAATGATATTGGTCGAATGTTCAAGGGAGACACGATGTGGGTTGATTGGATCAATGACTACAAGTCAAGGATATATGATACCCTGGATGGCCTTGCCATTGATATTGATGTGGCTGGTGTTGACAATGCAACAGGCATTGGGTTCGTGACCTATCTTGATGAAGAAGCATTTGACAAAGTCATGCCGGGGACTGGGGGCGCAGGATCAACGGCTTTGCCTCCACCAGTCGAAGAGGGTCTAGTAGGAATGGACAAGAATGGATCAGCAGCGTTAGCAGATCTAACTGGAGACGAACTGGCTCATGGGCAAGGCGCTCCGTCAGAAAAGAAATATGAAAGTGAAATGGCAATGTGATGAGTCTATTTTCTTTGGAACGTGGCCCATGAGTAGCGCCATATGTCCGTGTATGTAGAGTTACTATTGAGTTTATGTAACATATTGTAAGCCAACCTCTGATGCCGCCGCTTAGGTTGATCCTTTGGTTTTCCATACAGTTTGCCCCCCCACCCCCCTAATTCATGATGACGCCACACGCGGAGTCGCCTTCTGGTACTTCGACGGTATAGTAGCCGTCAGGAAAGTTGCCACTTTGTTACACGCTGTTCCACAAGCCTGAGGCCTGGACAAGCTCGGGTGCCTCAAACGTGTCACCAGTAGCAACAGCCACAATCAGGTCGTTTTCAGAGTCAGAACAATCCGTCGTCATATCAGCTTCGTCACAAAGGCTCTCTCGTGGACTCGATTCAAAGTATTGTGCGGCCCTTGGGAACCCAGAGTTAGTCACCGGCACCTCCCTTGTTTTGGCTGGCTCTGGGAAAGAGATTCGCAGTTTTCCAAATCCACAGCCTGCCACTTTATTCAGGTCTGCAATGCTCTCCAAATAGGAATTGTCCACCTCCACAAACTGCTTGCCCTTCCATGAATTTTGAAGCAAATACCAGATTTTTTTAGGGTCGTTCTCGTCCCCGCAAACTCCCACCAGGCAAAGCGAATGAGCGCCCACAATTTCATCGCCTTGATCGACAGGCCCTTCGAAACTGGTCCGGTCGGTGTCCATAAAGGTTTTGGTCACAATGAAGTTGCTGACCAGGCCTGGCACTCTGCGATGAAATGTTTTGTCTTAGCCAACAAAGCCTCCGAATTTCCCGTCATGAAAGGCTCGTAAACCCATTCAGAGAGCACTCTCTTTTTGTTGAAGAGACATTCCAGGTTTTGTCGGTTCCTCGGGAGATTTACGTTGGTGGGAAAATGCTCCTGAAAAATGAGTTCGCAGAGTGGCACATCGTCCAATTCATTCCGGATGAATCTTGAAATGTTCGTATAGACGCTTGCATCAGCTTCCCAATAGCCTTGGAATTGCATGCGATAATCGTAATCCTTCACCGACGCGGAAGAAGTCCACGTGCAAAGCCCGTTTTCTTGCACTCGGTATACAGGCTTCAAGTTGGCGTTTTCTGTGAACACAGTTTTCGCGTGTTTGGAGGTCCATCGACGGTGGTCTTGAAGAAACTTCTCGTAAGTATGTAGGTTGCTTGGTAGCACGGTATGGTAGTGTTCCCCTCCTCTGACAGCCACGATGTTGCGAAGTTTTTTGCATGTCATTTTCGCAAGGAGCAACTGCCCACACTGAGTCTGGGTGAGATCCTTTTCTGCCCCCATCAAAGTGCGGTCGAAGTTTTTCATCAGCATGTAAGAAAGCTTCGCTTGTTGTTCTTTTGAAAGGTCTGACATCTTGATTCCCAAATTCGCAGCACGGTTTTCGACATCTAAAGCGACAACTCCCTCGTGTCCAGCAGGAGGCGAGTAGTTTACGTCGTTGAACTTGGAAGTAATGGGCTTTGCTGGAGTTGTCGGAGCCATGGAGCCTAAAAAGGACTCCCAGTGCTCTCTCATGATTCCATTGATGCAGTGAGGCAATGTTTTCTCTTTCTCTCCCTTCGAGAGTGATTCGAGTTTTCTGTTGCAGCCAACAACGACACTTTCCGAGAATGGCACCGACTCCACGGTGTTTGGGTTCGACAGAAATCTCTCGGGCTGGAGCTGTGGCCGTGGAAGTCGATTGTAATCAAAATCTCATCTCTTTTAAGTTTAGGGTTACACGTACTGTGCGGTATCCACGTCTGGACAAAACCAAACAACCATTTCCTGCCAGAGGCGCCCTCCTCTGGCATGGCTACCGGTTGCTAGCTTAGCCCCCCCTTTGCCCCTTTAGAGTCCCGTCTCCCAAAATTGGTTGGGGTACTAGTATCAACCTATCAAATTGGTGCTTTGATTGAGGAACGCTTGCTAGAAGAAGGTCCCGCAGCCAAGATTTGGACAGCATGTGTAATCCACCGGTACATTGTAGCTGGGCCGATTTATTCTTTGCCAAACAATCATAGATATCATAACGCCGCATTGAGTTCGTCGACCACCTTCATCACGTCGCCAACTTTCCAAAAGTCGACCAAAACTACATTGGGCTGGAGGCCTCCATTGAGATCTTTGCATGCTTGCAGATGAGTGCGTAAGAAGTCAGCCTTGTGGACTCGTAAAATTGGAGAGAAGAACCGAGCAGGGGTGGTAAAGACGTTGACACCAAAAAAGTCTCTTGTTCCCGAGCCCCCTCGGGTGATTTCGCAGGCATACGCTTTGTCATCAAATGACCAAATAAAGGGAAAACTGAACTGTGTTTCGGCGGCGTAATCAAACCAAGGATGAAAGCCCACGGGACAGTCGACTCCTTTGGTACATCTTTCTCCTCTGTAGAAGAAATATATGATCCGTTTGTCGGTATCAATAAGCTCTTGCAAAGTCGGCCAGGCATTCCCAGGTCCTGGATGATCGTACATTTTTTCCTTCCACCCATCTACGCTTTGAAAGACTTCATCGACTTGGGCAAGTGTGGGGGGTGGGCCAAGAAGAAAGGAGTCTTCAGGGATTTCGGTAGGTAGAATTATAACCTCGTTGGGATTGTCGTCTAGAAAGCTCAAGATTTCTTTCATCACAATCTTGATCGGAATTTTTGTCTTTAACAGACATGAAGCATGAAGTAAAGTAACCTTGTCGAAACACGTCCCAACGTCCATGTTAAGACCTCGAAATCCCTTTTTAAGGGCTGTCTTCAGGTCGAGTTTATGATTGGGTAGAATGATTGCACCATCCAAATTAGCATTGTTGGCATTGTGCATTGTCGCGTAGATAACCTCATTGGCTGGTTTACTACACAAATTGGCGTGTCCATTACACAGTCCTTCCTTCTTTTTTCGGAAAGGAAACCAGTGCAATTGCCGCTGATGTTGCGTTCTCGCACCGCCCGTCTTCCTTGGGTAGACAAGGACGACAAGGATGGTTAGGAAAAGCAAGCAAAGTGTCACCGTAACATTCTTTGGAATCCTCATCATTGGTAGATGCGTAGTTTGGTTTGTTTTATGGAAAAGATACTAACAGCAGGCATCAATGGCATCAGAACAATTCTAAAATAAGCTGAAGAAGTACACTTGTAGTCTACTAACGTGGTTGTTTTTCGCAAAAAGATTGATCGGCCCGTCCGTATCATCAGATCTCATAATCGCCCAAAAAGTGAGCGATTGCATCCAGAGATAGCAGTCACAATTGTTGTTTTTCAGTCACGGTATCCACGCGCTCCAGAAAGAGCTTGCTGAGCTTCTAAAATCCTGGTGGCATGGCCATGATGTATGTACTGCCGTGATGAGCTGGTGTGTGTGCTGCGTATCAGTCGTAGCGTGTGTAGTGTTGATGTCACGTCTATCAGTGAGAACATCAGCGAAACACATCAGGCCTGAGCCAGAAACTAAAAACAACTGTGCAGTATGGTGGCACAACACCAAGGAAGAAGAAGAATTGGTTGGGTTATCCACCAGCATCAGCCACCATCAAATTGGTGCTTTGATTGAGGAACCTTTCTGTAGAAGATGGACCTAATAGCAGCCATGATTTGGACAGGTATCTTGCTTCTTTCGATTGGATGGAGTTTCCTTTTCTTTACTTCGGCCTCGTTGCTGTTACCAAACCAGGATGCTGCCTGGGACCGATTAAACTATGGAATCAACTTTGCCAGTGCCAAGTCCCTCGACAACGTGATTCTGAGGCTGAATATTCTGTTTCATGTCATGTCCAGCTACCTTGTTATTCTACCGTTGGCGTCTTATCTGTGGATGATCGATGAGGTCTTCTTTGGTGGCTACAACGATATTCAGATCCAGAAACCAGTCATCACCATTTCGGTTCCTCGCGGTGGAACCACTTCGTTTCATCGAACCCTGGCTCTGGATGAACGATTTGCAACCCCCACCATGGCAGAAGTTGTCATGCCATTCATTTGTGTCTACAAGCTGTTATTTGCTCTGAATCAAACAGCTCCTGGTCTCGTCCAGAAAACGGAAAGCTTACTCAAGTGGATCAACCGTGTTACGCCACAGGTGGAAGCTAGGCATCCAATCTCCCTGTTTGCGCCGGATGCCGACGACATTTTGCTGGGAGAACGGCACTGGGTATCCGTGGGAGCCGTGAGGACCTTTCCAGTGGCAGAGTACTGGAAGAAACACTATCAAATGGACGCACATTCTAGTCGAGAACGAGACCGTTCCATGCAACTACACCGACGCATGTGTCAAAAAGTGCTGTACAACCGCCCGGGGCCTCGTCGATTGTTGCTTCGGTCACATTTGAGTCCTTGTGTGGGAGACTTTCAGCGACTCTATCCGGATGCCGTGGCGGTGGGGATCCTGAGAAACCCAGTGGATGTATTACAATCGTTTGCAGGCCTATCTACGGAAGCAGTATTGGCAGCGACCGGAGTGAATATGTTGGCTCCTGCAGCCAAAGATTCCATTTGGTGGCCATCGCTCTTTCGAGCATTGCTAGCTGACATGATGGATCGCGAGAGTGCTCTGTACGGTGGAGATGACGATCATGCCTGGAAAGGGCGCTGTCATTATGTGACGTTTTCAGAGTTCAAAGCCAATCCTCAAGGTGCTCTGGGAACACTCTATGGCAAGATGGAACTTTCAATGACGCCGGAACTGGAGGACGCCCTGCAGAATGGACTAAAACGCCATGAAACCTATAAGACAAGGCACACCTACAAGAATCCCACCCTTGACCAGATGATGATTGATGAGAAAAGGTTTTTGAATCTCCCAGGTGTGAAGAGGTACGCAGAATTGCTGGAAGAGCAGTCGTACGGTAGGTGAAACGCTAGCTAGAAGTATGCAGGAAATATAATTGAATCGACGAGAGTTGCAATTCAACTCTATTATGGTTGTGTTGTCGTTGCGTGCGTGCGTCCTGTTACAGCGATCGTAACCACTGATTGGAATGCTTCTGAATGCTTCTGTCGGACTGTGCGTTGCGTTTCTTCTGCATCTTGCTTGACTTCTGACTGTAGATTGGATATCAACAAGTAGCAAGCTTCTAATCGTTTAGTGTTGCTCCTTGTGTCTTCTACTCTTCTAATATGTGTTGTGACTATTCGTTGTCTGCTCCGATCTTCTGACAACGTTGATCCTCTTCGGGATTCAAGAATCGATCAAAGTGTTCCCAGATGAACGTAAGGGCAAACCAGTTTGTCAGACTGTGTTCTTTGGTTCCCGCCCAGCATGTCTTGACCATTCCAAAGCGGTGCCTCCAAAACTGATCTGTGGACGCTTCCTGCCCGGCGTGGTGCAACGACCAGTTCTCACTGGTACCGGCAGTGGCACAACGAAAGTAAATACTCGTGTCGGATTCCAACAAGTGAACCAATTCTTGATTGCCCTTTTGTCGAGGCCATTGGATATTATGCGTCGAATCCGTAAAGGCGATGGCTCGAATGTGTCGCAGAGGCTGCTGGAATTTTCCATCCAGGATGTGCCGAACAAAGTGGGACCCGGACGCGGAATGAGACAGAACGTACACGTCGGGATTCTTCTCGTGGCATGGGCTCGGAAAGAGTTTCGTCATGGATTTTTCAAAGGTGACCATCCCAAGCCGGTCCCCATGAGCATTTGGATCCACAAGGACAATATTTAGATCCCTCTTCCTTGCTTCATGGACCAACGGCAAAGATGTGCTGCACTCCATGCCCGACACCATGAGATGCTGCCGGCTAAAAATGCCCGCCCGAACTTTGCCTTTCCCAGTCGCGACTAGAAGTGTTGGACGATTGGAATAGTGTTCCAAATTTTGTTCTTGAGTGCCTTTGTTGTTGTTGTTGCCTGCCTCATAAAGTTGTCGTTGTTGCTGCGCCAATGGATGTTCGGCATTGACCAATGCCCGGATAGGTTCGTGCTTGCCTTGTTTTAGATGGGGATGAGGACAATGACCTTGTTCTTCCTGTCCCTCGCACACTGTCACCCAGACCAAGCCATACTGTTTCATCATGACTTCCTGAGCATTCTCTTGACAGAGTCTCGCAACAGCATCGTACATGGCTCCGTCCGCAATGAACTGCTTTCGATTCTCTTTGTCAATTTGTGTATTGGAAGCAATGTGGAACAGACTGTTGCAACACTGGCGACAAAAGTACTTTGGAGGATGCTCCAAGACAATTTTATTGCTGTGCATGGCGGCGTTGTTGTTGATTTCCTTTTCATTCTCTTCTTCATCTTGTTTAGATTGTTGTTGTTGTTCTGCTTGCAATGCGTGTTGCCCTTCCAGGTTGTTTCCCTGCGAGTCCTGACCGTGGTTGACTGCAGCCACGCCACTGTTGCTCCCCTCCACTTCATCATCATCATCATCACCCCCCTGTTCTTCACTTTTGGCGGTGGTCGTGGTGTCCTCTGGATGATCGTCGTTCTCCTTATTGGCAACAACAGTCTGCCTGTGTTCGGCACATTCAACCCTTCGAAACTCGAATCCTGCGGCTCTCAACCCTTCTTGACCGTACATGGTCCGTGCGATTTCGAGCGTTTCTTCGATTTGTTCTGGTGGTATCCTGGTGGCGGCGCCCGGTGACATGGATCGCTGCGCCGACCTTCGATGGCTGCCGGCAGTGCTGCTCCCATGGAGAGGACGACACCCTGGAAACAAAAAGTCTTCAATGGCATGAATCACTCGTCCCGTCTTGGTCTTGGCTCTTTTAAACCATCCTCGTTTCTTGCTGCTGCGACGCAGTGGTTCTTGTGTCGCATTCGTAGTAGCAATACCTGCACTATTCTGCTGGGTTTGCCCTTGTTGTCCATCAGAGACAACCGCGACATTTTTGGCATTGTCTGGAGGGGGGCACGGTGCAGCAGTTTCGTTCTCGGCAGTCACATGAGACGCATAGGAAAACGTCTTGCGTTCTTCTTCTGTACCAATATTAACTCTGTTAGCATCATCGTGGGGGGGTTCTGGATCGCCTGATTCTTCACTGTTGTTCGGGTGTGTGTGGGAAGAAGTGCGATGAAAATGCCACGTTTTGCGAAAGGCCCCATTGGAGCGACGATGGTTGCCTGTGGATGTGGTTGTTCCAACATGCCAGGACCGTCGGTGGTCCTCTGGCTTGTCGCTCTTCACATCATTGGAAGGTCGCCTAATAGAAGCACGGGGAATGGGTAGCATTCGCATTTTCGTTTCGCAAATACTAATACTGGCTAGCTAGTAATAATACTACTACCGTGTCAGGATTGCTCTTGTTCCTTTTACTTTTTCACACAAACTTGTCCAAATATATATGGGTGCCAAGCAATTGACGTGGTCTCATGGACGGGCAGTACTATTACCGGTAGCTAGCATCCCAGTTGTGCCTTCTCCCTCCGCTCAACGTGGTTTCATGGTGGTGTCAAGCAAGAGCGTCAACGTTTTGTGAAGCTTCTTTCAACTTCGCCTGGGACATTCGTGATTGATGGTTCGGGTTTGAACCTTCATTCGTGGATACAGCGGTCGGATCAGGCTTCACTGCTCCTGTCACCCAGTTTCATCTGCTTACAGGAGACAAGGCAACAACACGCACTGGGAGACCAAGCTTCGGATAACTGGATGCACGCCATCACCTGGCTTGGTTTCTCTCCCAAATAGATGGCGGATTTCGCTACTGTATGACGGCGGGTAAGTATCCTGTGATTTCTACGGGATTCTACAGTACAGTACTATCAAATCTATCTTTCCAGCCTTTACGCAATGACTGCACCACGGTTTGGGGATCTTTTTGAGGCACCTGTGAATACTCAAGGCCACCATTGTTCTTCTCGTCCTTCCTTGCCATCATCACTCTCATTCTGGATAGTTTGGGATCCTCATTCTTTCTCACTCTATAACATCTCTCTCACTCATTTTTCATCAGTTGCTGCCTCGTTCTATCCAGTCCCCACGGCCAGCCACACCACACACTCACCCGTCACTCATTATCGCCATAGAAAAGCCATGATCATCAGACGAACACTGTCGTCCCTCTGGCTTTTCGCCCTCTTAGTATTCACAACAACAATAACAGCAACACGATTAGCAAGGGCTAGTAGTGACTCAGATGTCGTTACATGGTCCGACGCCGACTTGCGCTGCTTGAACGAAATGGAGTTTGCCGACAACACTTCCTACGACCATATCCTCGCTCATCAAGAGTTCTTTGCGTTTGTCACTTCCATGGCCAACCAACTGGTGGACTTGGGGCGGGAGCAAAATGCATTGGACGTTCAAGAAGTAAGATTCGAGTTGGATGATGTCTTTAATAGCTTGGTAGACTTGAATCCCTCCGGGGAACCGGCGGGGGTGGATATTCTCGGCGCCGCATACGGTCAACTCGAGAAGGCGGATGTCGAACAGCAAGTATTCTTGAAACTGGTTTGCAACGAAACAATAGCCACCATTTACTCACTCCTTCCGGGAGATGCTTACTAGGATGTTCGAGCCGTTCTTGCGAACGAAACAAACAACATGCACTCTTCCAAGCCAATTTTTAAAAATGCAATCCATTTTACTAGTAACTCTTAAAACCTTGTTTATGAACAATGAACCAGCCTAACTAGCTAGAAGTGATGGTTATATATTCCAGTAGAAGTTTTCTTCTCAACAGTGGCTTTCCTCTACTGGTATGATGGGTTCCACATCCGCGTCTCTCACGTCACTCCATGTCTGGCGCCACAGAAAAGGGCCAAGCATCAGGGGACGGTCATTTGCGCGGGGAACGGATACCCACTAGAGTAGATGCATTCAGTACTTCTTTCGTTGCTTCTTTTGCTCTTGCAACAACAACGCCGTTGCTGCAATCCACCTAGCTAGCCCAACACCATTCTTTCTCTACGTTGCGCCATCTTCCTTCGGAGCTGGCGTAGTGTGTGGGGGCGATTTTGGCGCGGGAGGGGCTCCGCCTCACAGCCGACGTCCGGTGCCATGATGATCTACACAGTCGGTTTTCTCCCGGCGAAGAAGTGTTCTGCCCTGCCCGATGACGAGGCCGCCTTCTTGATGCGTAAAAGTCGACGAAAGCGCAAGGACGAGAGTCAATGCCACCACGATGAACGCTGCGACCGCAACGTGCGTTCTACCCATTCCTCTTGTATTCTGTTTTCAAAAGGTAGTTTTGAAACTATGACCAAGTAGTCTAAATAAGATGGTAATACTCACCCCCCAAGGCGAAGCTTGGTTTATCCCAGTTTAACCCAGGGATTGGATCCTGCAAAACATGCGGGAGGGATGAGCATCTGGTATGGATGGAGCGGGTTCAAATTCTAGAGAGACTATTGCGCAGCTTTGCTGTTTTGAATCCATCATTGCCACTCGCCAACCATCTCGAAGACGAGCTAGCTAGAGCTCGGCACCGACACTGGGGAATTAGTCATCACCTTGTAACCTCAAAGAATCAGACGATTGAATCATTCCAGGTTGACCGATGCGGACGATGTCAATGGAAAGCAGGCAAGCCAAGTCTGCGTCGTCTCCATTGTTGCAGTGGTTTCACCATCCACTACACAGTGCCTTTGTGGATAGCATGTGCTGACCGGCCCTTCATGCCAAACAGCGCTAAAGTAGGCGATATCCATCCCATTCCGTGTCTTGATTGCAACCTCTCTTTTTAACCTTCATTGGCTGCTGACACCACCAACCAATTTTAAAATGGCCCTACTCGGAAAACCAACAATGCTATTGGAATCAGTTGCCAAGACAGCTCTAATAGCCGGCTCGATGCTAGCTAGCGAGGCAACAACATTGGTCATCCTCTGAGAGATGTTTCGAAACACTGTAGATTATTAGGACCAGCGGAACGGCGGACTGTATCTCTACAACCTCCAACAGCTGGTGGTACCAGTACCGGCAGACAGGACTGTCACTCTTGAAGTCTTTCCCCCTTCCAGCTCAGCAGGATTGTTTTCGTCATTGGTGTGGAGTTTTCGAACTCTTGGATGACAAAATCTTCTTCAAATCCCACATCTGCTTCACACGAAGTATGAGCGGAAGCTTTCTGATGCTTTCGCCCAAGCAGGAACTTCTAAGGTTTCACCATAATAATATTCCAATGCACTGGCAAGCTTTCTAAGCTTTGTTTCCCGAGCAATTGCCCTGTCATTGGTAGTTTCTTCCATCCCAAACTCTGTCATTTCAATTTCATTTTCCACACCAGTGTCTGCATGGATGATAGCCAATTTTTCAGGGGGCACATTAGCTTCCTTTCTCGTTGTACATTTCTCCATTAGGGTCTTAAAATCGGCAATGCACTTTTTCCCGTGTGCGTAGGGCTGCACCATGATCCGGTTGTAGTCTGAAAAATGCAGCAATCGCCACTTCGTTTTGCACAGTCGGTGCCCAACCCCAGAACACCTTGACCATTCTTAGAGACATCAGAGAGAGAGACCAATTGCAGGAGCAGCTGCCCCGGCTTTAGGTTTGATTTTGAATTTTTGTCCCTGTCACTGCCGCGAGCTGTGGTTGGGATGTTGTTATGTCTGTGGCTGATTGGATGGCGCGAGTAGAATGGTAGATCAGGGCGCTGCTCTTCATCGCCGCCGCTCTTCGACATTCTACTCTGCGGATGGTACCGGCGGACTAGCTAGGACCAATAACTCTTGATGTCTTTCCCCCTTCCAGCTCAGCAGGATTGTTTTCTTCATTGGCGTCGAGTACATGTTCTACCGGTATCTAGCTAGTACGGTACCAGGTACCAGTACTAGTCTAGCTAGCTAGTGTAGTATTAATAGTACCACCAGCTACCGGTACCAGCTACCACCCGCACTGGTCCACGTAAGTAAGTACCGATCGTCATACGGCCTGCCCGGATGTCTCAATGTCTCAATAGCTGTCTCAGTCTACGGTGTACTGTACTTCGCGAAGTTTTGTTGATCCAGTACCGTTTTGTGCATCGTCAGAGAGCGAAGTCCCAGTTGTTGACCGAGCCAAAACCACGGATGACTATCTTGGGTTGAAGAGTTTTGAAGATGGTTGAGACAGTGAGCGGAAAAGGCACAGAGCACGAGTCTTCCTCGCTCTCGTCTCGCCGTAGAATGCCACGGTTTCACTGTATGACTTTCTCTTGGTTGGCTCATCCCTGCATGGTGTCTTGTTAGCATTTGCGCATGACACTGAGACCCTGAATGAGACAACCTGCCGGCAACTTGAATTGGCTCTCTGTTGAAGCCAGTTCTTGGTCTGTATAATACTATTAGCTAGAGACAGCACTGGTTCGAAACGAAACCCAACCCTTCAGGGCGCCAGAGCAAGCTGCCGGTAGCCACTACATGGGCCTACTTTTCAACTATAAATCAATATTTACTATCTAGCTAGCTACGGTACCGGTAGTGGTAGAGAATGCATCTGCATCTTAGTTGCAACACGCCATAGATTGCTTCGAAGGCACTGTGCGCCATGAATCGTCCCACGCAAGTAAACTGAGATACAATAGATGGAATAGTACGGTTGAATTGCTTGTCTCAGGATTTCTTGCAGCCAGCAATAAGTACCATCAAAGAGGCCACGAAAGATTCCGCAGTTGGAGGATTATTGGAAGGAGCAGGTGGTTGAGGAGGCCGCACAAGCTGTGGACGCTGCACGGGTTGAGGCTGTGGCACCGGTGGAGCTGGGGACTGCGCTGTCGTACTTGACTTCAACAGCTGTATCAAGTCCTTCCAGTCCTGAGGAGTCAATTTGGACACATCGTAAGGGGTAGACCGCAAAAGCTTTAGTAGTTCCACCAAATCATTTTGGGATAAGGAAGACACATCGAATGGGAGGCTGTCCGTCGTGGTATTGGTGTTGCTTGGGGCTTGTCCAGGATTCTGGGCACTCGAGGTACCGGTAGCGTAGGCCGGGACAGCATTATTCGTCGTCGTACTGGCATTAGGGGCTTGTGCTGAATTCTGCGCAGTACTCCCAGACGAAGCACTCGAAACACTGACAGAAGGTGAGCGGTGGATGTAAGCTGGCTGCGTGGGTACAGCCGACGCCCATGAGACTTGCTGAGCAGGGACTGCCGCCCTCTTCCTCTCCACTTGATGCACTGCGCTCGGGGAAGGTTTCATGAATTTCTTGGCTGGAGGCTTGGTGTCAGAATGACCCGACAGGGCGATATCAGGAGACGGTGGTTGCTCCTGATTGCACTGGACGAGAAGGGTCTTCCTCCGTTTGGCGGCAGCCTCCGCAGCTTCCTTGGCTTGCTGCGCTTTCAAACTCTTCTCATCCCTCTTGCGGTCGACGATGGTCTTGACCATCTCTGGGTGCCCCTTGCGAAACAGAGAGTGTACAAAGACCACGGATCCTTTGGGCACGTCGACTGAACTGCGCGAAATTCGCCTGAAGCCTCTGTGGTGCGGACCAACCAAAACGTTTGAGAATCTCGTTATCTTGATACCCATTGCCTAATGAACTCATCATCGTCCAAGCGTACTTACAATCGATTCAGTTGCCGAACAAAGGACATGAACTTGGTCCCCTGAAAGTACTTGTCCAAGACTTCAGCGGTAAACCTCTTTTGTTCAATGACAAAAACCCTGTTACCCGGCAGAAACCAGATAGCGTCAGGTGCAACTTGCTCTTCAATTAGGGCCATGAGCCTCTCGGGAAAGGAGACCTTGCCTTGCTTCCCGCTCCTGCTATTGTCATCTTTTGCTTTCTTGCTGGACTCCATGGTGTTGATGATATTATGTAGGCTAGCCAGTATGGGATGTTGATTATCTGATGCGATTCTGTTGCTAATGTTTGAGACCAAAATAAATAGAAAATATCTCACGGTCTCACGGTGCCTCGAAAAAGACAACGTTTGGGGTTGCTTTTGACCGGCGTTGCTTCACACCGCTGGACCGAGACTTCCTTCCCCTACTAGCTAGCCAGCTACTAAATAGCTAGTAGTACTATGATAGCTATGATAGGCGCCTTTTCTCCTACTAGTACTTAGCTGGTGTCTTGAGTCTTGAAAGCGTCACCCTTCTTTTCTTCGATTTGCAGGCCTGTTCCTCTTCCTATTAATACAGTAGTTAGTCCACGCATTCTGCAGCTCCCTATAGCCCCTCTGAAGCCTGAAGCTGTCTCTAATTCTGGAGACTCTAAAAACATCGCTTAGCTTACATTACCACTATGCGTACTGGTACTGGAGACCATTTGCTTGGGACTGTCGACGGAAAAAATTTGTCGTCACCTAAATAACTCCGTCAGAAGTAATGTTCTGAATATTAATAATACAGCGGCAACCAACCTAAAAGGAGTACACTGTGTTGCGGGTTAAAGGGTACTACGGTACATGTATGCATGCGTGAGGCTTCCCACGGGAAAAGCACGTTGAAGTTTCGGCTTCACGTGCGTCAGTTGAAACTTTGGCTTGTCGACGTCGGAACAGATCCACAAGACTACTAGCCAATGTCGACGTCGGATCCACCACACTTTTGCCTTTCCTGATCCGTAAACTCGTTTTTTCGGCACTCTTTCATACCTACTGCTGAGTTGTGTCAGAAAGTGCCTCCGAACCCACTCAAATCCACTCAAATCGTGACAGGAAACACCTGTTTTTGGGTTCCCCGGCAACGAATTGTGGCCACACCATCCCAGCAAGCCCAGACACAGCGAGGTGCACATTCGCACGTTTCGCGTGGTCACGGAGAGTGAGAGTGACTGACTAGGACTCACTCGACTCGACTCGACTCGACTCGACTCAGACTCGTCAAGTAGTCCATGTACAGTCAACATTCAGATATATATACTGGGGGGGATTCAGAAATTCAGTAAATATAACAGCGAGAATAAATATTGATTTTATCCCTAACCCTAACTATTCCCGTAGAATTGTACGTGCTCTAGTACTAAAATAGGGTTAGAGTTAAAAATGTGGGAACTGGAGTATTCTTAAATATTATAGAGCGAATAAATACAAGATTATAAATATAAGCGAGCGTTGACTGTAGTAGCTTTCATGGAGCGAGACCGCTCTCATACATGTAGGAAGGACGGTCGCTGAGTTATGCACTAAGAGCATGATCAACGGTGTCAGCAAATATAGCCGCAAATTGTGGAAGCTTAGTGCCGGTTTAATTTCATTAACTCTTCCAATGAACCTCACAATTTGCGGCCAACGCACCTCTTTTATGGACTGACAGCAAATTTCGCAAATTTGCTGATTTTCGATAAACTTCTTGCCTCACATAGCGGCAAATTCAGATTTTAGTGAATAAATACTTATGCCGTGTTCACCCAAGATTGAATTTCGATAAAGTGTTGCAAAAATTACGAAAATGGCGCGCAAGCATAGCCGAAAATGGAGGATGCCGTGCCTTTGGTGTCTCGTATGGTTGCTTAAGCCCTGATTTGCGGCTATATTTGCTGACACCGTTGATCATGCTCTAAGTCTAACGGTGAGAGTCAGCTGACATATATATGTGAAATGCAACACAAGTTACGCTACTTGCATTAGGGATTATCTCGAGAACGTTGGCGCTCGGATTAGAAAGATCAGCGACTCGGTGTTTGCGAAGGAGACTGTGAATTCGTAAAAGACACAACAGCCTCGGCCAAAAAGGATAAGAACCTACATAAGATCCTCAGTTTAATAAAAGGAATTCGTCCAACCACAGCCAACTTGCGATTTCACAGGGCTTCTTTCTCGGTTGCCCACCTCTTTTGCCGTCCAAAACAGACACCAACGATTCCTTTTCATCATCCCCTACGACCTTGTGACACAAACTATGCTTCCTCAGTTGAAGTCTCTTTCAATGCTTTGGAGTGCTTCAGAAGGTGGCTTTCACGAGCAAACCATATTAGATCAGCAAAGTCCATCGAATAATATATCTTGACCTCCTCTTCATCGCGAATAAGAATGTGTGGCCATTCAAGCGTTTCCTGTGCCAATAACATTGACAACTAGAAGAACCTTGGTGAACTTCCACTTTTTCGACAATATTGAAGCTGCCTTGTTCAGCGCCTTGCATGCACTACCGAAGTCGTCATTCGCTTTCTCCTGTGTGAGAACCAAGCAGTGCTCCCCAGTGTCAGAATGTAACGTGATATAGGCTCTGTCAATATAGGGGTGCCCGGGTAATAGTACGTTGCCAAAGTTGGTTTAGTATCCGATGTGACAACTTCCTTCTGCTCTGCTTCTTCGGGCGGACGATCAGTAGATCCACGTCGCTAAGCGTCATCACGTCCGGAAAGGCCAAATGCCGAAACCAGGCTTGGGTAAACCCTGGCTTCATTGTAGGTAATAAAATTTTGGCACTTCTGGGAATAACAGGAACTCCAAGGCTGGCCCGAAACAGATCAAAATGCATCGCTGCTACCTCCAAGTCCTTCCCGTCAGCATCAATGTCAGCGAAAGTTTGGAAAAGATTCGTCAAGTGATTCATCGATTCCTTCTTCCCCTTTTGGAGAAGGCAAGCTTGTTAATGAAGACAGGGCACAGCACCCTATCATCATCAATAAGCTCTTCAATTTCCGGGCCGCATTCTGGGTTCAAGGCGTCGAGAACCATGCAATCCTTGATGCGTCTAACAATCGCGCTGTGCTGGTTGCTATCCAATTTGACCCCCATCACTGGTTCCACGAGGTTAAACATGGTTTCCACGGATGGCGTCCTGCCCGTGCGCCCCGTGCGCAAGCAGATCACGATCGAGCGCATGTGAGTACCGCATATGGCTTTGGCAAGGGCACCAAAGTGGGCCTGCACCCCCGGTCTTTCCAATTGTCTTTGGAAAAATTCAATCGTTTCGAAATTTGCGCGAGCTAGTACCCAGTCAATTATTCCTCTTCCGCTGAACACTGCATCGTTCAACGACGAGATCAAAACCGTACATAAGGCTTCTGTAGCCTTAGAATAACGAGTGCCCAAATTCGCCAGGAGCGAAACAACCTGCTGTGCAGCCTCCGTGCCAAGTTGTGCTACTTCGTCTGCGGCCAACAAAATGCCTCTATCTTGTGCCACCTTTCGGAATGTGGCTATAGCCAGTTCTTCAAGGCTCATAGGCGAAGCTTCGAAGAACTGCGCTGAAGTTGGATCCTGAAAAGAATTCGCACACGCAAGGGAGCCGCACCAATGACTCGCCAGAATCAGCCATAGAAAGGTTGCTTTCCTTGTTGTTTCTTGTCTTTTCCAAGTTGTTGTTGATGATTGTAGGTGATATAGACGCTGCTGGTAACGCCTAGGATGCCAGGAGCCTCGGTTAGAATATGCATCTTACCAAAACCAGTCCCAAGACCCAAACCAATGGCCACGGGTACCGGTACTCTGTTTGTACCGGTAGGTGAATCAGCAGCAATGAATGAGGGAAGCTTGTTGTTCCGGATGTCCCTCAGACCCAGTCCTATCGCTTCTCTATTCCACGTGTCCTCGGTGGCGGCGGGGTAACGGTGCACCTTCGGGTCGTGGGGAGATGATCTCATGTATCTCTTGGCCGCAGTCAAAAGTTCACGTTCGGCCTCTTCATACTTGTTCCCGTTATCACTGTCAAGCATTTCGACGAAGGATTTCCCTGTTTTCTGCTTCTTACCATAGCAACCAGGGTTCGCTAACCTGATAGATTTGAGGAATAGGTTACTAACCTATACACTAACCTGGTAGAAAATTGCACTAGGTTAGTGTATAGGTTACTAACCTGATAGAATTTTTGTAGTAGGT